CATTAGTGACAAACTGATACTATATGTATTTTTTGAGAATGATGTACAGTAATAATGAGTTCAAAGTATCACAACGACTAAGCAACCAAATTGTACAACTCATGCAATCACCAAGTCGTCAAGTCAAAATGATGGCAAGTCATGATTGATATTGATCAAATGGTTGAAATCCAACTCACCCAGTGTCAATATGCATATAGGCGATAAAAACATGTACAGAGTTTTACAGTTATAAACGCTGGAGTGAGGAGTGTAAACTTGACATCAAGTCTATGGTTGAGATTATTGTTCACGAGTCGGATCAACAAGTGCTCAGATTGTCGATTAACCTGTTCTCGACCGTTTGCAGTGAGATTGACGATGAAAATGTATGTTTACAATGATACAATATTGGATCAGTTTGGACAGTGTCATGTCATGTTGATCTGATTGTATACTTGACATTGAACAATATCATTAGTTTAATATCGTGGTATCAATACTTGTTTCACGACTGGAATCATCCGATGGTTCAGTTGCTGTTGGTTTTATCGAAAATCTTCAAACCATGTATTGGAGCATTCATCGTGATAACCCAGTAAAAGCATTGGAGTGTGGCATCATTTCAGCACTGGTCAATACGCTCAGGTATGTGGTGTTATGCATGAATGTGTGTCCAGTCATCACAATCAGTAAATTTGACATGGTTGGATTGACATGACATGAATACAGGAGTGTCAATCAAGCAGTGATTAGTCAAAGTATTGATACTATTCATAGTTTTTGCAACTATGCAGATTGTGAAATGATTTCAGCCGAGTTGATAAGGCTGGATTTGATTCAAATACTGAACGACTTGTGTATCAGATACAGCGACAACTCTGAACTAAAAACACGCATAATCGAAGTAGCTGGAACAATTGCATCCAATATGCACGACTTTCCTGTATCGCTTGTACGATCGTTGGTTTTTGAGCAATTGACGATATCGATGTGCAATCTCAATATACGTGACTGTTTGCACCGGTTTGATCATATCAACGACATGATTCGGAAATCTACAAACAAGACCGAGATGATCAAGGTGTTTCGAGATTATGGAATTGTAAAGCAACTCAACACTATTTATTCACGTAGAGATATAAATCTGTATGGTTATAATGGTATTGTAAAACTATTTAGAACACTTGTTGATTTTGCCGACAATCATTCCGACAGTTCAATACGTACCGAGTTGAATCAAGTCGAGATGTTTGAAAATCTAACGGCTATTGTAAAATCGGATGATACTGACTACAGAAACAAAAGGATTGCTGATCAGATCATTGGAACGTGTTTTCAGCATCGGGTTCAGACTGCTAGTTCGAGCATTCAGCCATACAATGAAAATGCCAAAATTGGTATGAAATCTGGAATGGCCGGAGATACACATGGACAGGCACGCACACTTGTCGAGATGCGGTATATCCAGTATCTGCAATGTATACTTTGCAAACCCATGTGGTGGATCGATATCACAAACCAGCATATTGTGGAGCAATGGAGGGCCGACTCACTCGATCGAAATATATCACCATCAACATTTAATCTTGCATTGGAACAACTCGAGGTTTTTGTCAAGCAGCTTGTTTGTAATGGCAGTGATGGATTGGGCACAATTGTACCAGGACCTGTTGAACTGACGTATATACTGGACAATGGCATACCTGACAATGTATATACGCGATTGATGACAAATGTATCGGATATTGAACATGGATCAAATCACAACACTGGTCAAATGGTGCACAATCTGATTGATGCATCAATGTACAGTGTTGTATATGGACAAACGATGATTGCACCACTGGATATACGACTCAAATACACCACAATGGTACCATGCGATATATTGCTATCGACTCGACTTGTTTCGGATACGCCCATCATTGGCAGCAGTTCCGGGTTTATATCACGCAAGTTCCAATGTCTTCCGAGTGAATTCCGTGTCGAACAGGATGGCAGTGTGACCATCAACTCATACATCAACAATCTGAATTCGATATGGCATCGAGACATGTACAAATGCATTGCCAAAATATTCAAATGTTTTGTCCCAATATTTGAAAGTCTGTTCAGAACGATGGATCCAATGTTCAAGTATATTGATATTCGCAATGGCACAAAGGGATATGAACCGTCAAGTCAGTCAGATCATGATGATATGGAACCAGACACTCAAGTCATTCGTCCCGTGTATGTACCAATACTTCCGGAACATTTTGAACCCAAATATGAATCAGCAAAGCCAGTGTCACTGCGTGGTCGTAATCTGCAAGTCATTGTCAAACTCACCAACATTCAACTGACACCATCCAAACCTAAATACGACGAGGGAAACTGGCACATTGAAGGTCCAATTAACGAATCGATTGTTGCAACTGGACTGTATTACTACGACGTGGAAAATATCACCACACCCAAACTCGATTACCGCGAGGCTGTTGATCGGTTTGATCAAGGAGCATCTGATATGTATTGGAAAGATGTGTATGACATTGATCTAGAATCACCACGCAATCAGTATATAGGATTGCTTGAAGTATCAAATGGTCGGTGTGTAGTTTATCCCAATCGATACCAACACAAAGAGCAATCATTTGAACTTGCAGATCCAACTCAACCAGGACACTGCAAGATTCTGACATTTTTTGTAGTGAATCCAGTCTGTCGGATTGTTTCGACTGCGCATGTGGCTCCACAACAACCACAATGGTACAACTCGAGTCTTGACAAGACACCCATACTGCCTGAACTGTGGAATGATGCCACGCAGTATATTCAAGGTGTCCAATCGCCAGCTGAAGCCAAACACTATCGAGATGAATTGACAAGTGACCGAACTCGAATCACAACAGCATACAACAAATACAGATATGAACAGAAGTATAATCTTGGTCTTTGGTGATGGATTGTGAGGTTGTGATTTTACAACAATGAGTTGCAATGCCAGTCAGATCTATGCAATTAAATGTATCGAATAAATTGAATAAATTGAATCAATCATGACAGTGATTGTTGATTATATTGACTGATTGTGTACAATTGATTGATACAAGTGATATGGATGCATCATTCGGTGTTGTTGAATCAGATCATTGCTTGATTCTGTCAATGTGATCAAATGGATTACTACAAAACTGGACATGCTCAAATTGAATCAAGTATTGAATCGAGTATTGGATTGATATTTACACACAACCACAATTACAACCACAATTGCAATCAGCACAGTCTGAATATTAGACATTTGAACATCACATATCGAGTTGTGGATAAATGCGAGTTGGCATATTGGACTGTTTTTGTAGTTTATTAATGATTTGATTCACGACTGTTTGAATTCAAGGCTCAATATGGATTACAACTGGATTGTCGTTGTTTCCATTTGGGATGGTAAATCTGTCAATGTGTTGATTGATTCCTAGTTCATTGTCCAATCCATTGATCAGTAATTGTCCAAACAAGTTGTATCCAAGTCGAGTTGTCAATCAGAATACCATAACCTGACATCCAAACGATTATTCAAACGATTGTTGAAACCATCAATGATTGCCAGAATAAGCTTTACGACTCGACTGCAATAACCACCACAATCATGGTCAGGTTAGTATGTTGATCCGTTTACAAAGTTCCAATACTGCAACAGATTCAACATACTCTTGAAAGTGCTGCACACCACATGGATCCAGCAAACACACTGATGAATTGAACCAATCAATTGACCAATGACATGACTCGATATTGGACATCGAGTTGCACACAGTTGGTAAAAAGTCACCGACATGTTCAGATAGTCAAACCTTGACTACAGGTTGATATCATCACCCAACACACCAAATACAACACACAATCTGGACAACTACTGGATCATATTGTGGATATCAATCAACGTAGCTAATGGTTCCAAACAACCATGTACAATCATGTACAGTCATTACAGGACAATATGATACATTTATGAATAGCATGTTGTAATCAACACGAGTGGAGTTGTGCAATAGACTTGTCATGGTTTGCAATGGTTTGATATGAACATGATGACTCGGACTCTATTCAGTCGGATCAACTCGACTACAATTGGTCGTGTATATTATGATTGACACGATCAATTGTAGTCGAACTCGAATACAGATTGACTGTTGAATCACAATGCGTGGTATCAGCAACATGATATGCTATATAGTGGAATGTGTACGCTAATCTGACATGTGTCATGTAGTGTGTATTCGATCAATATTGGTATTAGCAATCAACAAGTCATACGATGTTTGTGTTCGAGTGATGGAGTGGAATACAATGGAGTGGAATGAGTGCATCAATCCAGAATACGAGTCAACCATGACATATGATCATGATGTGTGGTTGATACAACTATATAATGACAATCGATGTTGATATAATATCACAACATGCAATGCCAACACAACAGTTGCAAGTCATTGATCATCAATGTGATGCTGTGATTGCAACATGAACTGCATTGTATTGATTCAGTTGATTGATTGAATTACTGAGTAATATGCAGTGATGATTGATTGTGTCGAGTTGAATGTAAAGTATCACCAAACCACATGTTTGAATAATGCCAACCACTTTCTACTTTGAAAAGCATGAACATCATAGCATATGCTGATGACCATGTAACAGCTGAATGCCAAAGCCATCTTACATAGGCTATGCGATATTATTTGAACATGCATTGATCTCCCAGGCTGTATCTCACCAACCCTTTTCAGGGCTTAAAAGAGCGAGAAACTGCATAACCAATCAACCATACGATGTTCAAATGCATAGCCGAGCAGTGGTCCAATCAATATTGCGGTTGTTATATAAAGGAAGATCCCTTCAAAGTTTGATATTGGTGACAGATCACCATCAACCCTGACAATAAAGCCAATATATTAGGGCGGCATTCAAGGATCATGCTTTTGATACCATCCATCCAATAATGAATATAAATACGACACCAAACCGACGTGTTGAATAATATTCATCTACAACTTGCTCAATCAAACCAATACAATGAAACTATCAATTGCTTTGTCATCGATCCTGGCTGTCTGCTCAGTTACTACAGCTACCCCAGTTCTTTCCACCACGACCACGAGCGTTGAATCTACTTCCACCACAGCTTCTCCTAATGCGATTGCAACTAGTGGGCCTGACTACTTGAAATATCCTAGTCCATATGATGAATATACGAGTCACTGTCATCCAATCTCACTGGAAATGTTAATGCTGTTGGAGGAATTTGTACTAATCGGACTGGGATGCGATGCATTATCAGACGAAATTGATGAGAGAAGAGTCAAAATCTATGCCGAAGTGGATATAATGGACGAGCTGCAGGAAAGATTTGACACTGTAATGGGCGACTCTTCAAACTATGGACTAGGAAACCTCGATCTTGAAGCTGCGATCAGAACCCAGCATGAACTTCTTGAAAAACTCCACAAAGAATCTATGGGACTTTTAGGAAAACATTGGAATGGAGTTCAGGAAAGTGACAAGTTACTAATAACACTTGAAAAGTACTTTAGGCAAAATTTTATATCTGATGAAACCGAGGTTTACGATATCGCAGACCCGAATGAATTTCTCGAATTTAGGAGATGCCACGAGTTTTTACGCAGTCACCTATCACAGTCACAGTCACAGCCATAATTTGGGTATGGTCCAACTTTTCAAGATTCTGGTAGTCAGCAACAAACTTTTCAACCAGACTCGTCACATTGTTGGAGTTTAGTAAACTATCAACAGTTTCGTCTAGGATATGTTGTAATGCAGCGTGTATTGTGTGTTTGGATGCTTGTTATTTGTCATGCATTCAATTTCATTCATTCAATAAACATCGTGTATTACCAAACAATAGTGTATTAGACTAATGACTTGATTATATTGCACCAATCAACTACCATGCATTGTATTGATTACTGCAGTGTCATTTCTGAATCCATGCGATTGTGTATATTTGTCATTTGGGGTCACCAATCAACACATTACATTTGACACCAACCCATTGGTACCACTGGACTATTTGATTCAAGTGACTCGGCTGGTTCTTGTAGCTTGTGGACATATTTGTGTGGTTCATAGTCGAAAGTATATCACAGTAAGTAAAATATGACAATAAAGTAATGAACTAATGTATGAATTGCGTTGTTTATTAATCCAAGATCGTGTCTTTTATGAGGTGAGATAGTAGTGGAACAATACCAAGAAAGATATGAGGACCATAGCTCAAATATCATTGTTGAGGGTTCCTTATCACTATAAATCTTCTATCAGTGGTGGTTATACTTGTGTACCAAACATAGAATCCCACACAATGCATGTCAACAGGCTGCACATCTCAACAATCCAAGTCCCATTACAAAGATCACACATTACCAATGTCTAACATTCTATTGGTTAATATGATTACTAAACATTATGCAATATACACATCAGGCACTGTTATTCTAAACAGACACGTTTATAATAACCAAAGCATTTTCCCTTTGTTAAATAAACAACCTATGATGTAACTTTTGAAATTACATTAAAACAATCAATCAAGTTTACTATTCAATTCTGTTGATTTAACTCACCTGATAACTTGTGTCAATGTATCAATCAACAATCCAGTAACTGTTGATGTAATATCCAACGCAGTATACAATCAATGATATGGTTGTTGACCCATTCACAATACTCGACAAACATCAACACATCAGAAGGTTTAAATTTATTCAAAATCAAATTCATTGACAAATCATCAATCCAAATCCTAATTCGGTTCTTCAAATTTCAAACCACGCTTTCTCATAAACCTTTTCAATCTTTGTCTTAAATTGCACACTCTTGTTCCTGCCTTTTTATACTCTTGTTTCAACTGCTTTTCAACCTCTGGATTGTATCTTGATTCAGATATCCTTTGGCCCATTGTTAGCGCTAACTGTTTACTGAATGCAAGAGCTGTATTTTCATGATAGGCTTGCCATTTTTTCTTTTGTATCTTTTTAGATACTACAAGTATTTTCTTTATATCATCAAGGGTTTCCTGATCCTCTTTGCTTAATACAATTGCTTGATTTGAACTAGTATTAGCAGACCTGCCTTGGCCCATTAGCTGCTGTTTACCTCGTTTGGGAGTGCGTGAACTAGGTTGATCAATCGGCCGTTTTCGACTTCGTTTGAGAGTGCTTGGGCTAGGCTGACTCATTGATTGTTGCTGGTCTTTGAGAATATTTGAATTGACTGCATCAATCAAGTCTCGCCAGTCTTCCGGAATGCCTGGATCGGGTTGATCAATTATAAGTTTCCAATCTTGTTCGGAAATGCTTGGACCCAGTTCATCGATTGGTCGTTTTCGACCTCGTCTGGAAGTGCTTGGATCAACTATATCAATTGGGTCTTGCTGGTCTTGGTTGGGGTTTTTTGAATTAATTATATCCATTAGGCTTTTCCAGTATTCGGAAGTGCCTGGATTAGGTTCATTGGTTGGACCAGACAATTGACTTGAAGTGCCTGATGCTTGGGGTGAATCATCGTTATCAGCCGGTATCAGTATTGCATTGGCGGTTGCTGCCACACTCAATACGAATAAAATTTCAACCAATTTCATCAGATTGGTCAATGTGTTTAAACGATTAATACAAAAGTAGAGTGTCGAGATTGGTGTCGATTAAAATATTGAGTGTAATCGATTGTATTTGTATTTTTTGTATAGCAAACCAACCCTTTTAGGTTAACCAATTATACAGGGTTACTTGATTGCTTGTAGTGGGTTACTATCAAACCATAGTATGCTGCTCCCTATTCACAATATCATATTGATCAATTTGATGATCGTGTCGATTGGATTATGCTTTTACGACCCTTTGATCAGGTATGTTGAAAAGCACACCCTTCGGGAGTGTTGTTTAACCGCAAACGCTTTGATTTACAACTGTATTCATGTCAAATGGATCACTTTAATATTGATTGTGCAGTAGCTGTATTCTGCATTGCAATATACAATGGTTACTACGCATTGACTGCATTGCGTGTTTGATATACAACTGTCAGAGTATTTGGAGCTTCGTTGATTTGTTTGATAGTAAAGTAAAGTAGGTAAAGTATAATCTGTAACTGTTAGTAGTTATCAGAAGAGAACAAATCAGAAGTGTAAGAGGAAGTTGCACTTGAAATCAAAATCAACAGACTTAGTCTTTTCAACCGTAGTGAAAAGGGTTTGATAAGGTAGTTAGACAGATGAAATAGTTTGAAGAGTTATTTATTGATAAGTGTAAGCATTCTAGCTTTTATAGTAGTTGATTGTTTGTGTCTTGTGATACGAACAATTAACCCGTTAAATGATGAGAGGTTGTAAATGAAAGTTACAACCAATAGTGTTGATTTCTGGAGTTAGTAAATTTAATAATGGCATCGTCTACCCGTTTATAGAGAGCTCGAGTCCTAGAAATGAGTGTAATGGAGTTACTGTGCACATGGATTTTTTTGGTGATGAAAGGATTTAACTTGTGTTTAAGTTGGCGCTTTTTAGAACTAGCTTTGCCATAGGTTACCGCTTAAGAGTATCCGTCTGGATATTCCAACACCCCACCACGCCTTGAACAGGGTAAAGTCCGAGTAGGTCTGAAAGCTTGTCAAAGGCGAACCGTGGTAATCCTTTGGTAAGTATGTCGGCGACTTGATCGTTTGTTTTTACGTATTCGACCGATACTGTTTTGTTTGTTACTTGATCGCGAAGAAACTTTAGCTTCACGTCCATATGCTTTGTAGCAGCATGATTTGGAGCCAAGTTTTTAGTATTTGCAATTGCAGATTGCGAATCAGAGTAAAGTATAGTAGGATTTAGCTGTTCGAATCCTAGTTCTTTTAGCAGAGTTCTGAGAAATAATAGTTCTCTAGTTGCTGTAGCTGCTGCAATATATTCGGCTTCCATGGTAGATACAGCCACTGAGGTCTGTTTTGTTGATCTCCACGAGATGCATCCATTTCCAATAAAGAATGCGTAGCCTGAAGTAGATTTTCTGGAGTCTACATCTCCTGTCCAATCAGCGTCGCAATATCCTGTTAGAGTAGGGGAATCCCCACCAAGTACAAGAGAGTAGCTGATTGAATGTTTTACGTATCTTAATATACGTTTTACGGCGGTCCAATGAGAGTCGTTTGACTTGTGCAGATATCTGGAAACTAGTCCGATAGCAGCACCTAGATCAGGTCTTGTAGCAACCATGGCGTACATTAATGACCCAACGGCTTCTCTGTATGGCGCGTCAGTAGTATTTTCTGTTTCTAGAGCAGGTGTCAGAACTATTCCAGGATCAAATGGAGTACATGCAGGTTTGCAATCTGTCATGTTGAATCTTGTCAGTACCTCCTTTAGATAATGTTCTTGAGATACGCTGATCCTTTTGTTCTGCCTGTCTCTTATAACGCGTATGTTGAGGCATGTATGGATTGGTCCTAGGTCTTTCATAGAGAATACCTTGAATAAGTCCTTTTTAGCTTCGTCAAGATATGGTCGATTGTTTCCGACGAATAATATGTCGTCAACGTATATGGCGATCATGACGAATAGATGTTGATCACGTTTGATCATAATGCATGGATCCGAGATGCATTGAATGAATCCTAAGTTTGTACATTCTTGGACAAGAATTTCGTTCCATTTGTGAGGAGACTGTTTTAGTCCGTATAGGGCCTTTTGTAGTTTTCCGACAGTTCTGCCCGAATCTTTGTTGTTGATATGGTTGTTGTATCCTTCAGGTAATTCGATGTAAAGATCTTCAGTGATAACCCCGTTTAAGAATGCATTGTTAGCATCTGTGTGATCGATTTCTAGATCCAATATAGCGGCGAGAGTAAGTAGTGTTCTGAAAGATGTGAAACGAAGTACTGGTGCGTATGTTTCATTATAGTCGATTCCTGGGATTTGAACGAATCCTTTAGCGACTAGTCTAGCCTTGTATTTGTCGATAGTACCATCGGAATTTCTTTTGATCCGGAATACCCATTTTACTTGAATTGGTTTTCGTCCACTTGGGAGCTGGCACTCGATCCAGGTTTGATTTTTATGAAGGGCGTTCATTTCCAAGTCGGCAGCTAGTCTCCAACTCTGGGAGTCTTTAGTAGCCATAGCTTGTTTCCAGTTTGTTGGAATTATATTGTCCTCGATTCCAGCAGAAAAGTAGGAGAAGTCCTCATCGAATAACTCAGGAAATGAGTGAGGATTTTTGTAGAGAGGCGAATAAGTGGATAGTTCAGCTTTATCTTCGACGGTCTCTATGGCAGTTAATGCTCTAGTATTGTTCTTGAGATCTTTTTCGTTAAGAGAGCTCAGTATTTGCTTGTTTCTGGATGTTCCGCGTCCAGTTGGTGGAGAAGAATGTGATTCTGGTTCTTCATCAGTAATTTCTTCATAGGTATACCCCTTGTATGGTCTAAGTGGGTTTGGCAGTCTTGATGGATTGAATCCTAATGGACTGGAAGATTCAAATGGGTCTTTAGTAGTAACCCCACCAGATCTGATAATTTGGCTCGCTTGATTTGAGTCCTCAGGGTTAGGCCTGGATTGATGAATAGTAGGATATGTTCCATCATTGTATTCGCTAGTAGCGATAATAGTTGGAGTTTGACTCGAATTGCCCAGATCTTCCTCTTGCTGGGTTTCGGTGACTGGTGTAGCATCCCTGGCTGGCGACATTTGTGTCCTAGTGGGAGTAGTAGATATATCGTCATCCTCTATTAGTTCAGGGGATGGAATTGGAGTAGTAGTAGTAGTAAAAATTGGATAAAAGAGTGGCATTTCATCATCACTATCGTTATCAATAATCGGATGAGCAGTTCTGGGTTTGGAAAGTGTAGTAGTAACACTCCAATCATAAGCCCTGTGATTAGGCTTCATCATAGGGAAGACACTTTCGTCAAATGTGACGTCCCTCGAAGTAACTACCCGTTTCGAGTTCATATCGTAGACCCGATATGCTTTGGTTCCTGCTTTGTAGCCGAGCATGACGCAGCGATTAGTCCGCGCATCGAGCTTTTTGAGTAAGTTTGTGGGTAGCAGAGCATGAGCTAGACATCCGAATACTCGTAGATGAGGTATTGCTGGAACGTTTCCAGTACATAGTTCGTAGGGAGTTTTTCCACCGATAGCTGTGTGGGGAGTCCTATTTTGTAGATAAGCTGCAGTAGTGGCAGCTTCAGCCCAAAATGTACGTGGCAATCCAGAATCTGAGAGCATGGACCGAACAGCATTTACAATTGCTCTATTTTTCCTTTCGGCAACTCCGTTCTGCTGTGGATTGTAAGGAGCCGTAAGCTGATGTCCGATTCCTTTTGATGCTAAGTAAGCTTTGAATTCATTTGATGTGAATTCACCTCCATTGTCCGACCTGATATTTCGGATTTTGGTGTCTGTAGTGTTTTCCACAAGAGTAATGTGATCCTTAAGAACACTGAGTGTCGCTGACTTGTGAGCGATTGGATACAGATGCGAGTATCGTGAATAGTCATCTACTATGACTAAATAGTACCTGGCCTTACCGAGAGACTGTACTTCGAAAGGTCCAGCAAGATCCATGTGAAGGAGATTGTTGATGGCCTTTGATTTTGTGTGGCTTACCACTGGAAAAGGTTTCTTATGTGCTTGTCCTTCGATGCAAGCTTCACATATCCTTGGAGGGCTGTTACTTGGTAGAATGTCCATTCCGTTCACGGTTTTAGCCAGATCAAGGATGGCTTTCTTTCCGATGTGTCCTAGGCGTCTGTGCCAGGTGTGTAGATTTGCTGGTGACCTGAATTCTGCAGATGCAGCATAAGATGAATCAGAGCAGATGATATTGCCTGAATTTTCAGTATATTTCGGATTGAGAATTTCGCAATCGATAATGTCCAACGTGCCGACCTTGTGCGCACGTAGAACTTCAACATCGTTCTTAGTGTAGAGGATAGCTCCTTGTTTATTATGCTGAGTCCAGCATCCAAACTCGACAGCTAGTTTTCCTGGAGAGATTAGATTTACCTCGAATTCAGGAACATATAGCACGTTATTGATAGTAATAACGCGACTGGCTTTTCCATTCCAGACTTTGAGTTGGAGCGATCCTTTGCATTCGGCATTAGTAGCCGTTTTCATTGAACCTTTGACACTGTGGTTTTGCAATGGTACTGTATTAGACAGCCAGTTCTTGTTGCATACCATATGAGTGGTAGCACCCGAGTCAAGAATAATTTCGTTGACACTGTTTCTGCTGATACTGCAGTAGTCTGTTTTTGCTGAAACCATGGTGTTGTGAAATGAGAAGTCATCATTAGCATTTGAATTAGCGCATGGCGTAGATGCGTAGTTGCTATTTGATTTTCTGTTATTCGAGAACTGAGCACGACAGTCTTTAGTTGTGTGGGTCCCTAGTCTTCCACAGTTATTACATAGTACCTTTTTCTTGCCGTTTGGCCAGTACGATGAATTGTTGGAGTTTTGAACGTTCTGATGAGAATCGTTTGAGTTATCTCCGTTGTTAAAGCCTCTGAAGTGTGGCTTGTTATTGTAATTTGATCCAGAGCTATTCTTGCTGTTGTTAGATCTTCTTGAATTATTGTTAAAATGTAACGCGACTTCGGCGTTGTCTAAAGATGGAAGTAGCATGACAGTGATAAGTTGCTGCTCTTCGTATGCCAACATTGTCCTGATGTCAGCTGTTGCATAATTTGATTTAGTAAAGCTGTCAAATCTGGTACGCATGTTGCCCCAATGTGAAGATCCTTTTAGTAGTTTCCTCAAGAGTTTTCGTACATAATCCTCATCGGACCATTTGACGCCAATTTGTGACAATAGTTTCCGTATGTCGAACATTTCGTCGTATAGTTGCTTAACACCGACCTGGGTGTCGTATACTATTAAGTCGAGCTCGTCTTCGAGCTCTAGTTTTGCGCTCATGTTGCCTGTTTCGTGATGTTTCTTTATGGCAGCGAAACTGAGGTGAGCTGATAGAGGAATACCGTTGAGGTCCTCTGCTAGTTTTTCATTGTCCTTGCTTAGTGTGGCAGATATCATGCTATAAGCTTTGGCATTGTTGATCAGGTACGGCTGATCGGGTTTACTGGGTGGTTTCGCAATAATATGTGATTCCCAAAGATTGAAGTGCCTTAGTGCAGCTTCGATAAGTACGAGCCACTTTTGGTAGTTGGCTCTCTCCAGACGTGGAACATGCAGTCCTTCTGCAAGTTTGATTACGTGACTTCCGACTGGGCTCATAACCTGTCAGAATATTAGGAGCTTCGTTGATTTGTTTGATAGTATAGTAAAGTAGGTAAAGTATAATCTGTAACTGTTAGTAGTTATCAGAAGAGAACAAATCAGAAGTTCAAGAGGAAGTTGCACTTGAAATCAAAATCAACAGACTTAGTCTTTTCAACCGTAGTGAAAAGGGTTTGATAAGGTAGTTAGACAGATGAAATAGTTTGAAGAGTTATTTATTGATAAGTGTAAGCATTCTAGCTTTTATAGTAGTTGATTGTTTGTGTCTTGTGATACGAACAATTAACCCGTTAAATGATGAGAGGTTGTAAATGAAAGTTACAACCAATAGTGTTGATTTCTGGAGTTAGTAAATTTAATAATGGCATCGTCTACCCGTTTATAGAGAGCTCGAGTCCTAGAAATGAGTGTAATGGAGTTACTGTGCACATGGATTTTTTTGGTGATGAAAGGATTTAACTTGTGTTTAAGTTGGCGCTTTTTAGAACTAGCTTTGCCACAGGTTACCGCTTAAGAGTATCCGTCTGGATATTCCAACAACAACAACCATCATATGATACACAATCAGACTATAGTGTTGAATCTACACTTTGTACACTATTAGTAATCATACATTGTACGATCACCAAGTTTGAACCCACATTCATGTATTGTGTTTGACTGTCAATGTTGTCAATACAACTCTGTACACTCATTTGTTGTTCATCACCATCCAACTCAATCTCACCATTTCAATCAATCTTGGTCAATGTTGATGATTTACACGCCAATTCATTATCCAATCTTGTCTGACATTATTATTGGCTTTAATCACGTTTGGTTTATACAACTGCCATGATTTGTACTACCATTATCATTGTGTATCTGATCACCAAACATTCCAATACATCAATAATACCACAGTGTAAACAGTAATACAGTTGATCAGTCTTGTGGCAAGACTTTTCATTCAAGTTTGTATTTGGAAATACTCGATACTGAGCAAATGATCGATTCTGTTGTACAAACGGGTTATTAGCAGTGAATGGGTAATCAACCAGACTGTTTACAATGTAATCAGACTAAATACACACAATACATACAATACTACCAATCTATGCAACAAACATGTATCAACCAAAATAACAGACATTTCTAAAACCAACCCGTGATAAAGGACGGATTGGGCTGTCATATATATGGTTGCATATCTACCAAACAGATCCAGACCGTACCATTATGCATGATATCACCCTGTTGTGGCTCAGTTATATCCACAACATTGTGTCTAATACACATCCAACCCTCAACGCGCCAGAATAAAATCGAAACCACTTGCCAATAGATTCATGGCGCTGTACTAGCGTATACGCTTGGTCTGATGGTGAATAGTTGTATGCCAAACATGAGAGCATCTGGCAGTCAACCCTAGATGTTGTGCACATTTGGTGAATACAAGTACAGTTGGATATCACGGATAGCAACAATCGACATGACAGTGGACACTATTGGACATGTACACTGCAATGTGACTGTCAGCAACCATCACCATCAGTGTGTATCATGTGTTTAAAAAGTACTCGCATGCATTGGATTCAACACCACGTTTGTGATTGGGTTGATTGTATTGTATTGTGTTGGTGGTGTTGTATTGCATATATCAGTAGATTGTGTGCTGATTTGAATGGCATGATCATCCATTGTGGTTCATGTACACGATGACAATCTGACCTGTTGACACGGCCAGTTTGTTGAACGACTTGTAAATCTCCAATTCAATTATAGTACAACGTCACTCATTCAGTGTATCAACGACAGATTACCGAGTTTGATGTTGATCATGTTGTGACACAATCAGCAGTGTTTGATGTATACAGTCTACATTAATCTAAAATGACCATGCAGTCATACCAACGGAAAAATCATGGTTTTGAAATACTGCAGCAACAGGCTGTTGGATGCTGTTGTGTCCGAGTATTTCAAATACATGACCAATTGAACAATCAGTCAAATATTTGGTATACAGTGACAGTAGCAGTATATGCTGTAATAATGGATTGTATATGTGATGATAATTATCCATAATGGCACTACCTGATCACTGAATACATGACCGCAATTGGAGAGATCAACGCAGAATATTACCGAGGTTGATTATACACTAACAGCAATGCTTATATATTGATCCACCCTACGGTGTGTTTTCGGCTTTGTCCACCCTATATGGTGCATTTGGCGTGTTTTCTAAATATTCATTTGGAGATTGCTGATTGTCACCCTTGAAGCTGCCGTCATTATAAAATGGCAGTCATGTACTAGATTCAAACCATTTTCATCACACTACTCGGTACAATGCTAATTACTCTAGAATGCGTTATACTTGCGTTGCAGGCGGTTTCTGCAGTTCGACTTGCATTACATCCACCAGTTGGAATTGACAGTCAATCAAGCAATAGGCTATCAAAACGATCACCTGTTGAATTGGGTGGTGATATTAACAAATGCTACACAATTAAAGTCAATGTTCACGGAACTGATGTATGTATCATGTCATTTATTGTAGTTTGATATCAATAATATTACATTGAATCAATCTCACACTTGTTCAAAATAGTTGGGTTTACGAGTCGATTCAGATGCCTCTAACATAATGGTACCACTTCCTAGTTCAAGCAATGATGTGAGTTTGGCTTCAGAAAGTACTCCAAGTGGAGAACCCGTTACTATAAATTACAGAAGAAAACAGTATAAAGGACTTACATCCACAGCCGCTGTGACGATTCCAGGTACTAGGATAACTGACATCAATTTACCAGTGCTAGCAGTTGAAAAACAGTCGCCAGATATAGTTGGTATTAGTTCAAAGTTTGATGGAGTATTTGGGTTTGGCCATCCTTATTTGTTAAATCGTCATTCACGAATCACTGCGATGGATGTTTTGTACACCAATAATGTCATTCCCAATAACGAGGTTAGTCTTCAACTATGTCCGTATGATATTCTGCATGAAAGTTCCATCAATATAGGAAACACAGACATAACTGCAAAATGCGGAACAGATGGAAGCAGTGTTGCATGGGTAGAGTCACCAACAAACAATCAATTTACTGTCAACATCAAGAGTATACTAGTCAATGGCGAACAAGTGGATCTACCCGATGAATTCCAAAAAAGGGTAGAGAATGGACATACTTTGTATTCGGTTATACAAACATGTTTTAGATATATGGTTTTTCCTGAAACAGTCGTGGCAGCGTTGATTGATGCCATTGTTGGTAGTAATGCGATCACTATCAAAAATATATTATTTAGAAACAGACTCGGCAAAATAGCGGTTAAAAACATATTACAGAAAAACCATCCAATGTCCAAATTCGAGTTTAAAATCAAATGGGAAAAGCTGCCGTCGCTTTCGATTACAATGTTTGCTAAAAACCCCATAACTGATGAAAACCACGATTCCGTTGTAACGATCAAACTGGGTCCTAGAGACTATCTACAGAGAGTTGATTCTGATGAATGTAAGTATTTGACAATTGTATTCAATATGTGTTGTTTGATTAGCCTGACTAATATAAATGTTGGATTATAGTTGAATTTATTGTAGCAGCTGGTCCAAACGACAATGTAATTCTTGGTATACCATTTATGAACCGACTTGCAGTCACATTTGATCGAACACATAAACGCATTGGGTTTGGTCCTGGATGTGGATGTGAAGTCATGGCTGATGGATATCCTACTATTTCGAATGCTGATCAAGTGCTCTGGCCATTATCACAGTAAGTTGTTTGATATTGATATGTGGATGTGTCAATTGATATATTGATATTGATCATGAATTTGGTGCATAGTGTTAGATTGCCTGAACAACCAAGTACTTCAAGTTCAGATGGCACATCTACTCTCAGGAGATCATTGTCGCGACTTGGTAGTACTCTTCGTGGTAGTAGGCGCTCAAAAATGACTTACAGGGATTCTAATGGGTATTGGCCACTAAACTGATGTAGTAATAAAACTGGTTATATGTTGCATGGATGATGGCCCTGATTATTTTATAGTTGATATGATGTACATCGGAACTCTTGGTGGTAACAATCATCAACTACAACTGATCAAGTAATTGTGCCTGAAAACACTCACCACGTTGTCAACAGTCACAAACAGACTCTCAATAAACTCGACTGAATACAATTCATTAATGACAAACTGCTAATATATGTATTTTTAATGTGGTGTGTTCATGTTTTATTGTGTGATATGTTCAAACCGTGCATGTATTGGATCAGTCCAGTGTGTATCGTAGTTGTTTGGTACACGATGATCACGCATAATATTGTATTAGTAATACATGGTATGGATTGAATACACATCATGATCGCATAGCTCAGTCACGATCCAATTGGCATGAACAGTCGAGTCGTGTAGTTTGGGTTCAGTTCGACACATTTGTATTGTCAATCTCGGACAAAACATCAAAAGTGAATCAAGATCAACTGAAACAATCAACAGACTGGATCCAGTATGCGTAGTCGCACTGGGTTGCATATACTGATTACAGTAAACAACTCGAGTATCATTTTACTGGTTATGGTTATGGTGACATGCCAGTGTTTGATACATGCAGCGTTACAATGATGGATCAACAACAATGTGATGGAACTGGATGCGTAATATCAAAACCATGCCCAGAATACGTGATATAACGACAACTTGCAGCCATATTGATGTAAATGAACCACCAAATAACAGTGTCATGAACTGGTTGACAATACAGTGGTGTTGTTGGTGATTGACATGCAAACAACAGTTGCATTACTGACATGTGCCATGATTGTTGTTGAACTAGATTGCAATCGTATCTGTGATTCAGATTACAACAAATGAGTGTACAGAGTTGTTAAAGAAATCAGACCTTTGTTGAAGCAATTAGACTCTAACCGATTACGAACCGTTCAACTAATTAACTTACATCGGATATAATATCCGAGCAGGGTATTATTCAACTCTAACACAATGTAACACTAGTGTGTCACATTGTATATCCCCTAATTCATAACGTCACCATCATTATTGACCCTTATGTTTCTATAACGACCCTACTTACTTTAACATTGTATTCATAGTTACCAATCATATGTAACTGTATCCCATTATAACAACACAGCTAACAGCTGGAATCAATCCTATTGGCCAAGTTATCTCCGGGTACTATAGCCTATTATCAAATACTACCTGTTTGAGCCACAAGCCTCAAACAATCTTTTACTATAAGAACTAAGACACTTTCTTATTAAATAAATATCCTCTGAATCAATCTTCTAAATATCATCTAAATATCATCTGACATAACTTCGTTATTATCTATTAAGTTCAACTCTTTATTCTGTTGACTTTAATTTGCGTGACTACTTCCTGATTATCATTCAAGATCTCTTCTGACCGATATTTTCTACAGCGGCAGATTATATATTATTACCTTATACTTTACTAATTGAAAGACTCAGTCTCTTTCTCTATTTTCTATCTCTATACTTCTTGCGCGATAATCAAAATCTTTAACAAGAGTTGTGTTGACAACATTGACAGTCAAACACAATACATGAATGTGGGTTCAAACTTGGTGATCGTACAATGTATGATTACTAAAAGTGCACATAATGTAGATTCAACATTATAGTCTGATTGTGTGTCATATGATGGTTGTTGTATTTGGAACAATCAATGCAGTCAATGTGTAATAACCATTGTATGTTGCAATGCAGAATACAGCTACTGCACAATGAATATCAAAGTGATCCATTTTACATGAATACAGTTGTAAAACAAAGTGTTTGCGGTTACACAACACACTCATGAAGGGTGATTTTCAATATACCTGATAAAAGGGTCGTAAAAGCATAGTTCAATTGGCGCGAAATCAAATCAATCAATATGATATTGTGATTAGGGAGTAACATGCTGTCTAATTTGATAGTAACCCACTACAAGCAATCAAATAACCCTGTGTCATTGGTTAACCTAAAAGGGTTAGGGTTGGTTTAATATACAAAACATACAAATACATTCATTCCTATAATCAACATCAGTTTCAACACTCTACTTTTGTATTGATAGTTTAAACCCATTGACCAGTCTGATGAAATTGGTTGATATTTTATTCGTACTGACTGCAGCAGCAACTGCCAATGCAATACTGATACCGACTAATAACGATGGTTCACTCCAAGCATCAGGCACTTCGAGTCAATTGTCTGGTCCAACCAGTGAACCTAATCCAGGCACTTCCAATGAATATCAGCAAGAACCAATGGATGTAGTTGATCCAAGCACTTCCAACCAAAATCAACAACAATCAATAGATGAACTGGGTCCAAGTATTTCCGAACAAGATTGGCAAGATATAATTGATGGACCCGATCCAGGCATTCCGGAAGGCTGGCGAGACTTGGTTGATGCAGTCAATTCAAGAATTGATAACCAAAATCAGCAACAATCAATGAACCAAGGCAAGTCTGCCAAACGAGGTCGGAAACGGCCAATTGATCAGTCCAGTTCAAGTACTTCCAGTCAACACCAACAACAACCAATGGGACAAGGCGATTCTTCAAATACTGTTACAAATCAAGTAGCTGTATTAAGCCCAAGATATCAGAAAACCTTTGATGGTATAAAGAAAAAACTTGTAGCGTCTAAAATAATACAAAAGAAAAAACGTAAAGAATATTATGAATCTATGGCTCTTGGATACAGGCAATGGTCGGTGTTGTCAATGGGCAACGATATACATGGATCAAAAAACAATCCAGAGGATGAAGCCCGATTGAAAAAAGAGTATAAAGAGGCATGCAGAAAAGTGTCCATTTTCAGGCAAGATTTGAAAGCGTTTATGAAAAGGCGTGGTTTGAAATTTGAAGAACCGAGTTCAGATTCAGATTCAGATTGATGATTTGCCAATGAATTTGATTTTGAATAAATTTAAACTTTCTGATGTGTTGATGTTTGTCGAGTATTGTGAATGAATCAACAACCATATCATTGATTGCGTATACTGTGTTGGATATTACATCAACAGTTACTGGATTGTTGATTGATACATTGACATGGTTTGTTCCATATACATCAATGACATGATAACAACCAGTGTTGATTGTAACTATCAGTTGGATTTGCAATCACTTGTCAGTTGCATGGTTGCATGATACCACCAACTGACCATGTCGTGTATTGTACAACAAACGGAGCAATACACTTGTTCAAAGTCTGTCACAAGCAAAAGGTGTTTGCCATGTCACTGTCAATGTTGGAAATCACAACATACAATGTTTGATTGAAGGATTCAACACACCATTACAAAACAGCATTGCCTTTTATCAATAATATACTAAAACTAACCAATACGTTAATGTCTTGCAATATATTGTGTTTGACTACAATCACATCCATCATTGTGCAGTTGGTGATATTGCTGAATCAAGATATGAAAGTGATCCATCAAGTGGTTCAATTAAAACAAACACTGCAAACCATTCAATCAATGTTGGAAATTGTGTTGGAATATTGAATGGACAAACCTTTGAGTAAAATACAAGTCAATATACAGTAATGCTGTGTATACTATGTATACTGTGGTTAGTGGAAATGATTACTTGTATCCAATTTCAGATGATGATCAAATAATTCAGACTTGCAAGTATTATGAATTTGAACACATTCAAATTGCTGAAACGTCTGTTACTGAATCTAGAAACCCATATCCAACAATGACAAATAAGCAGCGTCAGAACAGAAATCAATTGGATGCATTATCAACAATTAGTGAACATGAAAACAACAAAACATATGACATATGACAGGACATTTCAAACAACTTGTTTTCTAGAGCAACTATAAATGCCATTCGTTGACTCGATCAAAAACTACAACAATTACTTGCAATGCATCAAAATTTGGCATCCAAATTTGACATCCATATCCAGTTCAACAACAGGAAGCGTCAAACAAGTGGTATCATGATTACTATTCACAAAACAAGCAAATTGGACAACAGCGCTGTCGCAACTATTATGCTTCAAACTTGGAATCAGAAACGGTGCAACTGAAAAAAAGTACACAAAGTCGATGAGTATAGTTTATTGAATCATTCAACACCAATATCGTGTACTTGAAAATCAATGACATCAATTCCACCATCTACCAGAAACATGTTTGTTGCGGTGTGTTATTTGATGTGAATTTTGCACCAGTATGTTCATGTCTGATACAATTCATGGCTGTTATTGGACTTTGTACGACTGAACCATTGTTCAAATGTGATGATGTTTATGCCACTGTTGTAAATCGAATGGGTGCATATTGAAATACACGATATTGTTGTAATAGATTGTAGTATGTCTTGTATGCAAAATACGACAATCTCTCGAGTTTGAATTCATTGTAAATATACACCAGACATTCATCAAACTGAACCTTTTAGTATTTTTGCTTGCTTGAAATAGCTCCAGCAAACAAACAAGCGTTTCTGCAATGCACATTGTGTATGCTACACCAACAACATCATTGATGGTCAATACACACAAGTATTGTCGATGTACACTTTGAGTTCCAAGACTGTATTTTTTGTAGTGGGAAAGTCGTTGGAAAGCTGCACATTGAATTGCACTGTTTTGAGTTCCACTTTAAACATCTGTTCAGCAATCAGTCCATACTTTTGACAAGCTCATGTATGAATGATGGTTTATCAGTGTTTTTATCAAGACACGGTAAATTGGTTCATGATCAATGATTTGAGTTGATTTCAATGTTACTGCATTCATGACATTGAGTGCATCTGAAACAGCAACATCATCACTTGATTCGAGTTTCAAACAATAATTATTGACTGTGTTGGTCAAACTGCAGATTCACTGCTATTGGATTCAGACTCTGTAGCAAGACTTTCTGTGTGATGAAACAGCATCTGAAACTGCACCAATCGTTTGATTTCCAATCATATGAGCATCGTCCATAATAATATCATCAGCGGTTTGTGGTTCAGCATTTACCATTATACGAATCCAGTGAATATGTTGATTGTAGGTTTGTAAACAGAGGCTACAAACCAGCAGTGACATCGTTTGCAGACTTTTGATTTTGAAAGCATTCATAATTTCTGATATGTTACTATCATACAGCAAGGCACATTGCAGTTGCTCAGTTTGTCGACTTTTATTGGCAACCTATTATGTACCAGCCACAAATATGATATTGCAGACTTGTAGATGCTTAAAAATGGGGTTTCAAATTGACTTTTGAATTTGAGGATCGTGAACATATGATGGCATATTGATGGTTGTCATTATTGTCAAGTGTGTTGCAGTTGATTGAAGATGTGATGGAATGAATCAATATTCGATTGTGTTGTTTATTAACAAGTGAGTGAGTGTGTTTATAAAATGGAAGAAACCAAGAAAGTCATGTGAATTCCAGTTCAAACGTCATTGTTGATGGTTTTTGATTGTTAAACTATTCAGAAATGTCTCACACTCTCACACTAGTAATGTCTCACAGTATTTGGTGTGTTGGGTGATGATATCAACCTGTAGTCAAGGTTTAACTATCTGAACATGTCGGTGACTTTTTACCAACTGTGTGCAACTCGATGTCCAATATCGAGTCATGTCATTGGTCAATTGATTGGTTCAATTCATCAGTGTGTTTGCTGGATCCATGTGGTGTGCAGCACTTTCAAGAGTATGTTGAATCTGTTGCAGTATTGGAACTTTGTAAACGGATCAACATACTAACCTGACCATGATTGTGGTGGTTATTGCAGTCGAGTCGTAAAGCTTATTCTGACAATCATTGATGGTTTCAACAATCGTTTGAATAATCGTTTGGATGTCAGGTTATGGTATTCTGATTGACAACTCGACTTGGATACAACTTGTTTGGACAATTACTGATCAATGGATTGGACAATGGACTAGCAATCAATCAACACATTGACAGATTTACCATCCCAAATGGAAACAACGACAATCCAGTTGTAATCCATATTGAGCCTTGAATTCAAACAGTCGTGAATTAAATCATTAATAAACTACAAAAACAGTCCAATATGACAACTCGCATTTATCCACAACTCGATATGTGATGTTCAAATGTCTAATATTCAGACTGTGCTGATTGCAATTGTGGTTGTAATTGTGGTTGTGTGTAAATATCAATCCAATACTCGATTCAATACTTGATTCAACTTGAGCATATCCAGTTTTGTAGTAATCCATTTGATCACATTGACAGAATCAAACAATGATCTGATTCAACAACACCGAATGATGCATCCATATCACTTGTATCAATCAATTGTACACAATCAGTCAATATAATCAACAATCATTGTCAAGATTGATTCAATTCATTTAATTGCATAGATATGACTGGCATTGCAACTCATTGTTGTAAAATCACAACCTCACAATCCATCACCAAAGACCAAGATTATACTTCTGTTCATATCTGTATTTGTTGTATGCCGCTGTGATTCGAGTTCGGTCACTTGCCAATTCATCTCGATAGTGTTTGGCTTTAGCTGGTGATTGAACACCTTGAATATACTGCGTGATATCATTCCACAGTTCAGGCAGTATGGGTGTCTTGTCAAGACTCGAGTTGTACCATTGTGGTTGTTGTGGAGCCACATGCGCAGTCGAAACAATCCGACAGACTGGATTCACTACAAAAAATGTCAGAATCTTGCAGTGTCCTGGTTGAGTTGGATCTGCAAGTTCAAATGATTGCTCTTTGTGTTGGTATCGATTGGGATAAACTACACACCGACCATTTGATACTTCAAGCGATCCTATATACTGATTTCGCAGTGATTCTCGATCAGTGCCATACACATCTTTCCAATACATATCAGATGCTTTTTGATCAAAACAATCAACAGCCACGCGGAAATCGAGTTCGGGTGTGGTGATATTTTCCACGTCGTAGTAATACAGTCCAGTTGCAACAATCGATTCGTTAATTGGACCTTCAATGTGCCAGTTTCCCTTGTCGTATTTAGGTTTGGATGGTGTCAGTTGAATGTTGGTGAGTTTGACAATGACTTGCAGATTACGACCACGCAGTGACACTGGTTTTGCTGATTCGTATTTGGGTTCAAAATGTTCCGGAAGTGTTGGTACATACACGGGACGAATGACTTGAGTGTCTGATTCCATACCACCACGATCTGACTGGTTTGGTGGTTCAGATCCCTTTGTGCCATTGTGAATATCAATATACTTGAACATTGGATCCATCGTTCTGAACAGACTTTCAAATATTGGGACAAAACATTTGAATATTTTGGCAATGCATTTGTACATGTCTCGATGCCATATCGGATTCAGATTGTTGATGTATGAGTTGATGGTCACACTGCCATCCTGTTCGACACGGAATTCACTCGGAAGACATTGGAACTTGCGTGATATAAACCCGGAACTGCTGCCAATGATGGGCGTATCCGAAACAAGTCGAGTCGATAGCAATATATCGCATGGTACCATTGTGGTGTATTTGAGTCGTATATCCAGTGGTGCAATCATCGTTTGTCCATATACAACACTGTACATTGATGCATCAATCAGATTGTGCACCATTTGACCAGTGTTGTGATTTGATCCATGTTCAATATCCGATACATTTGTCATCAATCGCGTGTATACATTGTCAGGTATGCCATTGTCCAGTATATACGTCTGTTCAACAGGTCCTGGGACAATTTTGCCCAATCCATCACTGCCACTACAAACAAGCTGCTTGACAAAAACCTCGAGTTGTTCCAATGCAAGATTAAATGTTGATGGTGATATATTCTGAACGAGTGAGTCAGCCCTCCATTGCTCCACAATATGCTGGTTTGTGATATCGATCCACCACATGGATTTGCAAAGTATAGATTGCAGATACTGGATATACCGCATCTCAACAAGTGTGCGTACCTCTCCATGTGTATCTCCGGCCATTCCAGAACTCATATCAATTTCGGCATTTTCGTTGTATGATTGAATGCTCGAACTAGCAACATGAACCAGATGCTGGAAACACGTTTCAATGATCTGGTCAGCAGCCCTTTTGTTTCTGTATTCAGCAGTATCCGATTTTACAACAGCCATTAGATTTTCAAGTATCCTGCCTTGATCCAACTCGGTACGTATTGAACAGTCGGGATGATTGTCGGCAAAATCAACAATTGTTTTGAGTAGTTTTACAATACCAGCACCAGAATCATACAAATATACATCTCTGCGTGAATAAATAGTGATGAGTTGCTTTACAATTCCATATTCTTGAAACACCTTGATCATCTCGGCCTTGTTTTTAGATTTTCGAATCATGTCGTTGATATGATCAAACCGGCGCAAACAGTCATACATACCGACATCAAGTATCGATATCGTCAATTGCTCAAAAACCAACGATCGTACAAGCGATACAGGAAAGTCACGCATTTTGGATGCAACTGTTCCTGCTATCTTGATTATGTGTGTTTTTAGTTCAGAGTTGTTGCTGTATCTGATACACAAGTCGTTCAGTATTTGAATCAAATCCAGCCTTATCAACTCGGCTGAAATCACTTCACAATCTTTATAGTCGCATAAACTCTGAATAGTATCAATACTTTGACTAATCACTGCTTGATTGACACTCCTGTATTCATGTCATGTCAATCCAACCATGTCAAATTTACCAATTGTGATGACTGGACACACATTCATGCATAACACCACATACCTGAGCATATTGACCAGTGCTGGAATGATGCCACATTCCAATGCTTTTACTGGGTTATCACGATGAATAATCCAATACATGATTTGGAAAGTTTCGATGAAACCAACAGCAACTGAACCACTGGATGATTCCAGTCGTGAAACAAGTATTGATAGCACGATGCCAAACTAATGATATCGTTCAATGCCAAGTATACAATCAACAACACATGACAAGACACTGTCCAAACTGATCCAATATTGTATCATTGTAAACATACGTTTTCATCGTCAATATTATGGTAAACTTGCAAGAACAGGCCAATTGCCAATGTGAACACTTCTTGATCGGACTCGTGAACAATAATATCAACCATTGGCTTGATGTCAAATTTACACTCTTGACTCCAGCGTCTACAATCGAATAACTCTGTACATGTTTCCATCGCCTATATGCATATTGACACTAGATGAGTTGGATTTCAATCATTTGATCAATATCAATCATGACTTGCCGCTATTTTGACTCGACGGTTTGATGATTGCATGAGTTGTGCAAGTTGGTTGCTTAGTCGATGTGATGGTTTGGTCATCCAATACCTGAATGATCAAACATTCTATCGTCATATTTGGCCTGTACTTGACAACCTGATTTATCAGTTGTTTGTATAACATTACACAATCAATCATATTTGAATGCATAGCCAAGCGGCGGTTCAATTAAAACTGGGCTGTTATATAAAGGGTCATCTTTTTAAAATTCGACATTGATAACAAATCGCTACTAACCCTTGACAACACCAATCCCTTAGAACGGTCATTCAAGGAAGGTGCTTTTAATCTGATCCGTTCAATGAGATATAAATACAGTCCAAAGCCGACCCATCAAACAACCATTACAACTTTGCAAACTAGCATAATGAAACTTGCAGTCACAGTATTGGCATCAATCATGTTTGCTTGCTCTTTTACTACAACCAATCCAGTCAATCCCAGTGCAACTACAACTACAAGTGCTGGAACTAGCACTTCAACCGTCATTGTGAGGATCACAGCCATGAGGACCTTGGATTAATTACCTTGCGGTTACACAACACCCTAAGGACTGATATTAACCTCCTTATGACCGATCGAATCCCTAAGGACTCATGTTGACCGCCGTAGGGACACGCAACTCCATAAGAACCTGTGTGAACCCTTTACGGCTGTACTCTTGTTGAGGTCTATAAATAGACCACACTTGTCATATATGTTTACCTCAGTTTTATCAATAAAGTTCCTTGATCCTAGTTAGTAACAAGCACCTGGTTTCCCTTCGCCTTATTTTGCGATTAAGTACTTCCTGACACATTGATAAAACTCATATTTTCCTGAACCACCTGCTTGTTTACTCCTTGTCCCTGTTCCTATCACAACTTCAAACCTCGTCATGAAAAACTCCCCGGAAGCCCGTTCCAATCTAATCGACGGTTCCCCTCACTCACGACATTCCAGTCGCACTCGTCCAACGACATGCAGATTGACGCAGTCGTTCGAGGCCCGTTATCCACTCAAGAAAGGAAGCGCCAACGTCAGCTCGGCTTATGTTTATATTGTGGCCAGCCAGGTCACCGAGCTCATGACTGCCCTAGCAGAAGTCCTAATAGAAGAACGACTCCAGGTTCCAGATCCGTCGTTCGCCAAACCAACACCTTTGCCTCTTGAAAACAGTTATGGGTGAAGCAGTGGATGTAGCCCGTGGTATGCTTGACAAGGATGTTGATGTGGTAGTACCCTCTGGGGAAACAGGCTCTTTTACACAGACGCCCTCCACATCTCCTTTGTACTCGCATCAGCCAGCAAAACCCACACACCATGCTAAGTCTGTTCAATGTAAAACTCCATCCTGTTCATACCCGTTTCCTGTTCTCGTTTCCTAGTTTCCCCAGTTATTCCTTGTTTTCTTGTCAATGATTCACATTTCATTGAACCTCCTAGTTTCCCCAGTTATTCCTTGTTTTCTTGTCAATGATTCACATTTCATTGAACCTCCTAGTTTTCCCAGTTATTCCTCGTTTTCTTGTCAATGATTCCTGTTTTGAGTTGCCAACCTCAGATTTACCTCGTATCCAGGCAACTACCACCGCATCGAAACCCAAGTAACCGTATCGACTCCAGAGACGTCGTCGTTTGGAGGGGAGATAATGTGAGGATCACAGCCATGAGGACCTTGGATTAATTACCTTGCGGTTACACAACACCCTAAGGACTGATATTAACCTCCTTATGACCGATCGAATCCCTAAGGACTCATGTTGACCGCCGTAGGGACACGCAACTCTCTAAGAACCTGTGGGAACCCTTTACGGCTGTACTCTTGTTGAGGTCTATAAATAGACCACACTTGTCATATATGTTTACCTCAGTTTTATCAATAAAGTTCCTTGATCCTAGTTAGTAACAAGCACCTGGTTTCCCTTCGCCTTATTTTGCGATTAAGTACTTCCTGACAGTCATTCCCACTGCAACTACAAGTACTGAATCTGGGCTTTGGGCAGCTTCTAATGAAGAAACTACAAATTTAGTTGATATGAGCCAACTTTCAGAAAGTGATTTAAGCTTAATCGAAGGTTGCCTACAAATGGAGCAAGAATATGAAGATATAAAAAAAGCGTATGGCTTGGCCAAATCTGAAAAGACTGATCAAAGGATATTAGTAGAACGGCTGAATAAGAAACATGCGAAGCTGTTACGTAAACCTCGGAAAAACAAGAATAATCCAGTATATAAAAAAGAGCTTAAAAATTCTAGACTGAAGCTTCAACAAGAGAGAAAAAAACTCAAAGAGCTTGAAAAAAAGTGTCAAAAACTCTATCACGATTTTTTCATCCTTGATTTGAAACTGGATTCCAACAAAGAAAATCTTGCAGAGCGTTTGTTTGAAGATCTGGATTTAGAACTAATCCTTTCTCACATGCAATTTCTGGAATTAAATCGTGATTTTGTTCAAGGCATATACGAATCTCTTAATCTCATAATGAACCAACAGTCAGGATCTGAGCAAACCTCCACTAGTGGGAGCCAGAGTTCATCACAATATCATGAAAGTCCATCATCTGAGCCGCTAACTGAGGAACCTTTATTCGAGGAACCGTCATCCGAGGAAACAGATATACCTATAGCCCAGCCCGTTCGAGCAACTTCCAGTTTAGAGTGGTTATTCCAATATGTGGAAAACCTTTTAAATTTAGAAGTAGGGCAGCCCAGACGTGACGATCCATCCAATTGACTTGAATGTTAATCTGGACTTGTTTCAACCGATTCAATTGTCATTCTGATTTAATTTACAATAAAATTGTATGTGCATGCATTATATCTGATTATTGTACACAGTCTTGGTTGACATGATACCATATTGTACATTGACACTTGTATTTCCAATACGATACAGTTGATTGTATATTGCATAGTTGTACACATTAATGATGCTGACATGCATGTGTGTATTGTGTCGAATGATATTGCTTGACATGTCGTATTGACACATGCAACACCAATACCAATAATAGTCATGTGTGTTGATATCAGATCCAATCAATTTGACTGGTTTGACTCGTTGATTGTGGTGTCAAATGGTTGCATCAATAGCCTGACTGATCACACACATCAGTCGCAGTATCAACTCTGTCAAGTGTCAAATATCACATGTTGAATATACAATGCCAACAATATGGCCATTATACACATGTTGATGTATCCAGTGATCGTATACTGGTCGATTGATGCAATATGATCACACATACTAATGGAATGTGATAGTCATGGTATTTGCAGCAGTATACCATATTAAACTGATCCAATACATGCACGGCTTGAACATATCACACAATCAAACATGAACACACCATATTAAATATACATATAGTAGCAGTTTGTCACTAATGAATTGTATTCAGTCGAGTTTATTGAGAGTCTGTTTGTAACTCTTGACAGTGTGGTGAGTGTATTCAGGTACAGCTACTTGATCAGTTGTAGTTATTGGTTTTCTTCTGCGAATAAATGCACCATCTGAATCTGAAGTACTTGGTTGTTCAGGCAATCTAACACTATGCATCAAATTCATGATCAGTATTAATATACACACCCACACACTAATATCAAACAACTTACTGTGATGATGGCCAGAGCACTTGATAACCGTTTGAAATAGTAGGATATCCATCGGCCATGACTTCACATCCACATCCAGGACCAAACCCAATGCGTTTATGTGTTCGATCAAATGTCAATCCAAGTCGGGTCATAAATGACATACCGAGAATTGCTTTTTCATTTGAACCAGCTTGTACAGCAAACACAACTATAATCCAACATGTATATCAGTCAGGTTAATCAAACAACACATATTGCATACAATTGTCAAATATTTACCATGTTTGGAATCAACTCTCTGTATATAATTTTTGGGACCCAGTTTGATCGTTACAACAGAATTGCGATTTTCAACAGTCACGGGGGTTTGAGCAAACATTGTAATCGAAAGCGACGGCATCCTGCCCCAATTGATATCAAGATTGGATCTAATCATTAGACGGTGTTTCCAAAATATGTCATCAACATCTTCTTGGTTAAACTCGCGCCTAAGCATATTATTTTTGATAGTAATTGCACCACTACCAACAATAGCATCAATCAGCGTTTCCACGACTACTCTAGGGAAATGCATGTATGTACAACATGTTTCCACAACGGAGTACAAAGTACGTTCATGTTCCACCTTTTTTTGGAATTCATCGGGCAGCTCCACTCGTTTGCCATTGACTAGTATACTCTTGATGTTGACAGTATGATGATCATTTGTTGGTGAGTTTACCCATGCAACACTTGTTCCATCCGTTCCGCATTTTTCAGTTACGTCCGTATTTCCTATATTGATGAAACTTTCCTGCAGAATATCATACGGACATAGTTGAAGACCAATCTCGTTATTGGGAATGACACCATGATTGTACAAAACATCCATCGCAGTGGCTGGTGGATGATGCTTTGACAACAAGGTATAGGCAAACCCAAATACTCCATCAAACTTTGAACTAATACCAACTATATCTGGCGACTGTTTTTCAACTGCAACTACTGGTAAATTGATGTCAGTTATCCTAGTACCTGGAATCGTCACAACTGCATCGGAACTAACTCCGTTATAATCATCGCCTTTGTACTTTATAGTAACGGGTTCCCCACTTGGAGTGTGTTGCGGAGCCAAACTCACATCATTGCTTGAACTAGGAAGTGGTACGATTATATCAGACATTGCTGAATTGACTTGCAAATCCAACTATTTTAAACACGACAAGTGTGAGATTGATTCAATGTAATATTATTGATATCAAACTACAATGCATGACATGATACATACATTGACTCCATGAACATTAAATTTCATTGTGAAACATTTGTTAATATCACCACCCAATTCAACAGGTGATCGTTTTGATAGCCTATTGCTTGATTGACTGTCAATTCCAACTGGTGGATGTAATGCAAGTCGAACTGCAGCAACCGCCTGTAACGCAAGTATAACGCATTCTAGAGTAATCAACATTGTACCGAGTAGTGTGATGAAAATGGTTTGAACCTGATACATGATTGCCGTTTTATAATTACGGTAGCTTCAAGGGTGACAATCAGAAATTTTCAAATGAATGATCACAAAAAACACAAGTACACCCTGTGAAGTGGACAAACCCAAAAACGCCCTGTAGGGTGGAAAACCACAAAAACACCGAGTAAACCCAATATACAAGCCTTGCTTTTAGTGGAAAATCAACTTGACTAGTATGCTGTGTTGATATTCCAAATTGCGGTGATGTATCCAGCAATCAGGTAGTTTCAAATTGTCCCCCTGATTATGGATAGTTATCATCACATTTACAATCCATTACTACAACATATACTGTCATTGTATACCAAATATTTGACTGATTGTCCAATTGGTCATGTATTTGAAATACTCGGACACAACAGCATCCAACAGCCTGTTGCTGCAGTATTTCAAAACCATGACTTTTCCATTGGTATGACTGCATGGTCATTTTAGGTTAATCTAGACTGTATACATCAAACACTGCTGATTGTGTCACAACATGATCAACATCAATCTCGGCAATCTGTCATCGCTACACCAAATGAGTGACATTGTACTATAATTGAATTGGAGATTGGCAGGTCGTTCAACAAACTGGCCGTGTCAACAGGTCAGATTGTCATCGTGTACATGAACCATAATGGATGATCATGTCATTCAAATCAACACCAAAAAAACACACTTTTGAACTAAACAATCTAATTACAATAGACTATCAGAAATCAACAGCATGTATGTTTGATATATGCAATGCAACGGGTAAACCCATTTCACTTAATAAGCCAATATTTGTCACATTTATGGATGAAACAAAAAAGGTAATGGTTGTTGGCATTCCTTGTTTGTTTTCCTTGTTTGATTTTTATCATCAGCAATCTCTAGTTTAATGAAATGATTAAATATTATTATAATGAATTTATACCATCAATGGTTTTTCGGAGCGGGCTTTACTGACATGCCCAAGGTTATCCATATTGTATGGATTTAAGATCATAAGTTCAATCCCGTACTTGACTCCTTTTTGACTAACAAACTGTTTTTGATTACCAAAATACAGTAAACTCTCATACTTCAATAGCCATTTCATCATATTTTGAACTACTCAAACAGCATGTTGTCACAGTATTTCAAACCCATGACTTTTCCATTGGTATGACTGCATGGTCATTTTAGGTTAATCTAGACTGTATACATCAAACACTGCTGATTGTGTCACAACATGATCAACATCAAACTCGGCAATCTGTCGCCGCTACACCGAATGAGTGACGTTGTACTATAATTGAATTGGAGATTGGCAGGTCGTTCAACAAACTGGCCGTGTCAACAGATCAGATTGTCATCGTGGTACATGAACCACAATGTATGATCATGTCATTCAAATCAGCACACAATCTACTGGTATATGCAAAACAACACCACCAATACAAATCAAATCAAACCCAATCACAAACGTGGTGTTGAATCCAATGCATGCGAGTACTTTTTAAACACATGATACACACTGATGGTGATGGTTGCTGACAGTCGCATTGCAGTGTACATGTCCAATAGTGTCCACTGTCATGTCGATTGTTGCTATCCGTGATATCCAACTGCACTTGTATTCACCAAATGTGCACAACATCTAGGGCTGACTGCTAGATGCTCTCATGTTTGGCATACAACCAGTCACCATCAGACCAAGCGTATACGCTAGTACAGCGCCATGAATCTATTGGCAAGTGGTTTCAATTTTATTCTGGCACGTTGAGGGTTGGATGTGTACCAGACACAATGTTGTGCATGTAATTGTGATGATCACACCCTGAGTGTGTTATTCGATTACAGAATGGCACACTTTATTTGATCTAACTCTGTATTTTTAGTAACAGAACTGCATAATTCAACATGGTCTTGATAACATATTACTATTATTCAACGTGCACGTTGCAATCCTGGCATCCTCAAAGCCCATCAATAAACTATATATTTTCCTACTGTTTCCAATTGGGTTTCCTCAGTCTGATTAAAGCCCTTGACTCAAATATTCATAGTTCAAAGTGCCTGACTGTCTTGTCTCTATTGACACAACCCTAACAGTTGAATTGAGTTGCGGATATTGGAGAACTGTGTCAAGAGTACGACCTTGAGCAGTCGATTCATGATGTTGGGTTGTTGCATGTTGCTTGAATTTGTGACAGCCAGTTTTGCAATGTGTTTTGAGTGCTGATTTGGACATTTGTGTGAGGATCACAGCCATGAGGACCTTGGATTAATGACCTTGCGGTTACACAACACTCTAAGGACTGATATTAACCTCCTTATGACCGATCAAATCCCTAAGGACTCATGTTGACCGCCGTAGGGACACGCAACTCCCTAAGTACCTGTGTGAACCCTTTACAGCTGTACTCTTGTTGAGGTCTATAAATAGACCATACTTGTCATGTATGTTTACCTCATTTTTATCAATAAAGTTCTAAAGTTGTTTGATCTTAGTTGGTAACAAGCACCTGGTTTCCCTTTGCCTTATTTTGCGATCAAGTACTTCCTGACATGACGAACCAATGGCTGTTCATCACCCAATGACATGGATGAAATACCCGACACAGATCGTGTAATCCAGTCACCATCAGCATTGCAGAAGTGATCAAGACGATGCAATTTGACATTGTACTGAATAGATTGGACAAACTGGAGAAATCAAGTGGTAGTGGACTGAGAGACATGCTTGACCACAGGTGTTTGTGGTACAGTGGATGCTGGTGATTGACTGGGTTTGTATGTATTGTACAAATCTCTGTCAGCATTAGTATCAATATAAAATCCTGACATGAATGATTCTAGTGGTGTAGTTTCAATTGTTGCAAATACAAAACAACATTGAATTCAACATTGTGTTGCATATGAAGCCAGTCATATTAAACCAATTGCTGCAAAACAGGTGTTGTGAAGCTGCTTGAACATTTGTCAATTTTAGTAATCGACTGGATTGTTGAATCGATAAAACCAGTCAGCTTATTAGTCAAATCTATCAACTACAATGTTGAATATATTCAGAAATACAGTCGGATATCAAACCCAATTGTCAGAGTGGTGTAACAAGTGTTTATAGCTTACCAACACTATAAAATCGATTTCCACAAACCAATCGTGTATTCAATATGAAATGTCAAGGTGTAGGTGTTATAGTATATGTAAAAGTCGAATGACATGCAAAATTATTGCAGTTTATATGATTTACGTATATTTTGATGCAATATTGATTGCGGTCTAGTTGGATGTCACGGATAGCAACAATCGACATGACAGTGGACACTATTGGACATGTACACTGCAATGTGACTGTCAGCAACCATCACCATCAGTGTGTATCATGTGTTTAAAAAGTACTCGCATGCATTGGATTCAACACCACGTTTGTGATTGGGTTTGATTGTATTGTATTGGTGGTGTTGTTTTGCATATACCAGTATATTGTGTGCTGATTTGAATGGCATGGTCATCCATTGTGGTTCATGTATCATTCTGATCGAGTGAATTTAACCCATTTCATCCAAATAACTGCTTGAAATTATCAATTCCATCAATAGAAATGCAAGATCGATGCAGTATGAAAAAACTTGCTGCATCTCGTTTATTCTGATAATTTTCAATTATAATGCCGAGTGACCAATCCACGAGTTCTACTAGCAATACAATCTGTAGTTTCTTTTGCAAGTGTCTCGCATGCAATGTCGGGTACTGCTGCAGGATCACTAATAAACCGAACAGTAGGTTTACTAGACTGATTGCATTCGACAGTCATGTTTGTAATTGGATAGTTCAACTGTTTTTGTACGCTTTCTGAACAATGCATCTCATCTTGACGAAATATTCCCATAGTTTCCATATTCAATGCGCACACACCACGCAAAAAACTTCGCTTCATGTCTTCCTGCTGTATGTGCTGCTTTTCTATTGACAAATGTAACTGCATTTGGGTTTTGTTGAGTTTCTTGGACAACTATTTACGTTGCATATATCAAATTTGAATTCAAAATGGATTAAATATACAACGTATTTTTGGCATTCACTGATTTACATAAACTAAACTAGTTGTTCAACAAACTACTAGTAGACTGCAATTTGAATATCCGATGCATCATGGTAGTTTTGTGCTAGTAGATTTATTAAAATAGTACATCCATATCAAAACATACCTGTGCAATACGACTCTCATATTCGGCCGACATGGTTTGCATATGCTTTTCTGCTTCCATCTGGAATATTAGATTTCAAATTAGTAAACATCATACATCAAGTTTCACAAACCCAATTGACTAGACGTACTCGGATTCTGTTTTCAGTTGCCTTTCGCCACGTTACTCCAGCTTCAGAATGCCATCCCAATATAGCTTTCTGCATCATGGTTTTCCTATGATGTCGAGCAGCAATATGCATTGCAAAATTTCTTTTCCTCAGCTCCATCTGCCTAACTTTCCACCTACCGAACCATTTTTCAGTTACAAGTCGATTGCGCTAACATAGATACCAATACAATAAATCACATTTTAAAATAATCGTGTGCAAATCTACAGATCCCCAACTTTGCTCATGATACAAGTTTGGGTATATTATTGGATTGGTTGCAACTACACAACCAAATAATTGTCAAAATACCTTGCGGGTTAGGAAAGCTGTTGCTGCATTGACTACTTGAACATAATCCACCAGTTTTTTGTCGCTATGATTTCGAGATTTGATCACAGAATCCATCTTGCCATTCAAGCCATCTAGTTCCAACTCATGTGCTTGTCGTATACTATTGAGTTCTGCTTTGTGATGCTCGTTTATCCTGTTTCTTGAAATGGTATGATCAGCCTGTTTATATCATTGGTGTTGACTCAGTTAGACATGTTGCCAGACCATATTACAGATTTGATGACCATTTAAAAACACACGAGTTATGGTTGGGTGTAAATCAACACCGTCATATAAATGTAATACATGGCAAGATCTAGAAACAACCCAAATGATATTTGATTACCAATATAGCCTGACGAAACAATACTGTCAGTTTATCCAAACCGTTTCCAAACGCAGCATCAATATCCAAATTACACATTTCGGCATGCAAATCAGCAGTATTGGCTGAGTTGACAAAGTGCATGGTTTCTGGGACTATGCTTTGTACCACAACTGGGTCTGTTGCGATTATTGGATCTTGTGGTATTGCCATGTGATTGTTATGCAATGGGTTTTGATTAGGTGATGTTGGTGGGTTTGAACAATATGCACTCATCTGTGTGCTGAGATTGGCAAGTGTTTGAGTCGGATTCATAGTATTTGCTATATAATGCAAATTGCCACAAACCAAGCAAACGTTGAATGTCAGTCATGTGTAGAATTGATAATATTAGTTAAAGAGTAATCAAAATGGCATTCAGCAGACTGAACAATGACATGATAATTGGTAGAAATAGTTTGAATTCACAATAGATTATCTTGGCTTGAAACAACACAGTAAACTAGTCACAAATATTCAAGAATATCTTAATTGATATAATCTACCAAAACAGCAAGAATGCAATACAATTGGTGCAAAATAAAGTGTTTGATTTTGCGTGAATGTTACGAGTTTGCATTCAAACTCAGATGGGCTTAAAACAAAAGTCAAGAAAACGACAACGAGCATTAGACGATGAAGTGTATGAAGTCGAGGCTATTGTTGATTTTAGAATCAATGAGGTGTGTGGGGTTGCTTTTACAGACAGTTCAACTGTTTCTACAACCTTGTCAATACATACTGCTGGTTATACTATTATGAATGGCAGTCTGCATATCAACCACACTGGACATTCGTCAATGATAAAGAACACATGTTGATGCTTATCATAGAGTGATGGCTGTATTGCTTCAACACATACCTTGTACAGCAGTACTACAACCATCCGAGTTTTGTAAACTGGACTATTGACATCCTGCTTAAACACTCGACTCATTCTCGACAAGCATACCAACCCTTGCTTATTGCCTTTTGTTTCAGTCCATTTTACACCCCAATACAACTACTCTAACCTTCCAGCCTCTTTTTACTACGACTATTCGTTGTTGATATACATTATTGTCCGAATAGGGAAAAGAGCAATTCTTTATCAAATGGAAGGGTTATGCGTCTGTAGAAAACACCTGGGAATCAGCTGGTATGTTATTCCAATCTACAACACATGAACTCTAAACACACCTTTTGTTCAAATGTCTGCCAAGCAGATAATGTCTGCAGCCATGTAGTCTACTGCATGCTCAAATTTCTCATGACTATCCAATGATTTGAACATTGCACAGTTTTAATATCAATTGTTCCACAAGTATGCTCTTGCAGTGAATTTCACTGACATTGTTTATTTAATCACCTGTGCCATTGTGACGACATATAGATGTGGTAAATGTAAGTGTAGCATGCATTGTCGTACCAAATGGATGAGTAATCTAACCCGTTTTTGATCATTGGTTCAGGCACCGATATTAATAAAAAAGTTTTGGAATCAGCATCCAAAATTTAAAAATGCCACAAAATTGTCCGAATCTACCCATGAATTGGATACCAACACTAAATTACTCAAGGTGCCTGTAATACATCATACAGTGTTGTTTTTATGAATAGTATGCGTTTGAAACGAGTTTGGCTAATTCTAGTTTACTTGTCCATCAAAAATAACAGTCTCAAAAAAACACTCTTGGTGTGTACTGTTGTCTGCAACTTTTTGTGTTTGATATGATTTGTGATGGGCTTGATGGTTTCCGTGTATCCCGATATGCCCATGTCTAGTAAGACTAATGCATATACTATGCCAACCGTGTTTAGCTAAAAACAAGACTAAATCCCAAAAATCCAAACCAGGCAACAAAAGAAATTCAGAGTTGGATTCATTCACAAAACAGGATACTGATGATACTGATGAACAAGGTACGCATCTACTGCAATATATTTTCCATTTTTGTCAATCCAACTCAAAGCGTGATCACTTGAAGACATATGTCAAGAATATTGGGACTGATATAGTTTTTATTTGTATTGACTAAACTTGGTTTTAAAAGACGACCTGAGCAAAGTCTATCATTCGATTGACTCGTTAAGTCGGGCTGTACTTGACAAAGCCTCGTGGGAAAACGATGTTGTAAATATTGAAACTATGGAAGCATCTGCCACAGGTGAAGATGATCTTGCTGTTTACATCAACTGGAAAAATGGCAAAAAGACGGTTGTATCCAGTAAAGTAGCCAATACAAAATGCCCACAAAAGGTGAATGGATTACTATTTGTATTTACCATTGTCTTGAACAGTGCGTTGGATAGGGTAGCATGCTAATCTCTTGATCCTGTTTTAGATTATCAAATTTTACGAAAATCATATCAAGTTTGGATAAATACTGCGATGTTTTATAATTTGGCTATTCAACCAATGCAATGCAACGTTGACAGTACAATAGTGCTGTACTGACCATCAACTGTTTTGGTATTGCTGGATATACCTGGGCTGATTTTAACCCGAATATCTAATACACAATTAAAAATATATATTAAGCCAATTTACGAGTTTACTGGTAGCATATATGGACAGTTGCATCAATAGTATGGGGTGTTGTCAATATCACTGTAGTTGTCGACTGGAATTTGTATGCCAGCAGACTAGAAACACTGGTTCGAGCTTGTTGGCATGGTCATTGTGTTCAAACTCGTTGACAATATTATACACAAACGTGTACATCTAATGCAATGGTTCAAACTTTTAATGGATGTTTGCTTGAAACTGATCTGGATCGCTATATCAACAATTGGATATGAATGGCAGATATACAATTTGATTTTCATTTCTGCAGTGTTCATCTATTTCAAAATCAAATAATGAAACTATTCAAAACTATAGTATCTCATATGGACTATTGGTAGGCACTCTGTAAGTTTGACTCGCTACATCAGTAGTTTGTTCTTTCATGTTGTTTCCATCATACTCTGTTTCCATCTGCACTTGTTGCAATAAACTTCTAGGCTCGACGTAACTCGTCAATAAAAACGTATAAATCTCAATCGCATAAATCATGGGAGGCATGTACCATCCAGAAAATGTAATATGCGTCGGATCATATAGGAATGAATGCACTGCAAATCCAGCAACAATGATGTTGAGTCCAAATATGACAATAAATCGAGGACCTTCCCGTTTTAGCAAAACTTGATATACGAATCCTTTTCCTGTAAATCCAATGGATTTGCAGAGTGACCAGAGAAATGATATTGATGCCAACAATGTAAACAGACCTTGTAATACGAATGTGAATGCAAACAACTCGCGAGTAAGCTATATATGCAGTAGTTGCAAAAAAACATGGTTGTTAATAAAGTTGAAATGGCATGTTTAATACTTGGACTCGATATGACTTACTCCAATCAGCGGACTGGAAAAAAATATGGAACTTCGATCTGCAACGACATCAACGTTGGATAGTATTCCGAGAATATTGGCTGGCACAGAAAAACAAAAGGTCGCAAACCCAATAAATGACAGTAACCATAACGACAAGGATGATCCCGAATGAAATACTCGTAATCGAACCACCATGACAGCAAGCTAAACATGCCATTGAATATCAACAAGTCAGAAATAAACACAACATGCAAAATGAACCAATATTTGCCATAGTTGGTACTTGCCAACGATGTACTGGTTAGAAAGTTGGCACAAATAGCAAAAATCGTAACCCATGCCATGGAATGATTGGCAGTCTCATACGGCGATATTGTGTAATCCAGCAACACAATCTGTAAAATTGACTGCAGCATACATAAACTCCATGCCACAACAGAAATCTGGAATAGTGATGTGCTCCACGAGGTTTTGGATGCGGAAACTAGAAAAAAGAAGGTTGATATGAGCTCATGGAGCGCGATTCCTAGAAATATTGCAGATGGTGTAGCAAATGCAGACAGTGTACGTTCAGGCATTTCAGTGCTGATATGAGTGGTCTTGAATGGCTGATATCAAGTCTTGAACAGACAGTGTTGTTTCTGGCGTTGAAGGACGATTTCTGGTTGTTGGATGTGGAGGTTAACTAGTCGGATTGGCAACTCTGATGGAATGCTAAAAGTAAAGTAACTGGGCAATGATTCAATGATTTATTCATGGTTATACGGGAACGACTGCTGCAAAGGATGGAGAGACTACAGATACAGAGTGGTCAAGAATGTTTGTAGATGTGAATTGGCGTGGATATTGGGTCAAGTTTATCTTGCGCGTTCCAACTCTGCATATTGGGAATAAACTCTGGTGAATCGGCAATGACGTATGAAATATCAAAAACACAATTAGTAAATGGAAATACAACAGGTCAAATAATGCATGGTGTTGCTCTTCGCAATGACACATGGGTAACCAACTATTCATAGTCTGAATCAAGTGTGATGATGCAAAACCACGAATATCTTCAAACTCACTATTCAAAACTCCAGCATCGGCTAGTCTATGCATTCATATTTATTCTGGCTGTATCTCATTCAAAATGCTGACAAAAACTAAACAAGACTGGTCTCGTAGCATCTTGACTCGAGTGTGTATATCAAATCATACCACTCGTTGCTTGTGAAAATACCGGAAATTGTGTAATTGGTATTCTAATTTGACAATCTGGCTTGAACAACTGTTGAGCAATCTGTAACTTGGTGTTTCATTTGACAACCCAAGTTCAGCTTTGGAAACATGTCAAGTGTATACTTTTGTAGCAACGCTGCATTGCTGATGTGTGAGAATGGGCCGTTTGTTCTCTGGGATATAGTTTTTAGGAAGATGGCAGACGTCGTCGTATAGTGTGTTGTCAAATATATCATCATCTGACTGTTTGGACTCAGAGGATGACGATGATTCATTGGACTGTTCAACAGAGCTGTCTGAATCATCGGGATCTACAGTCGACTGAGCTACATCATAATTGGTTTCAATAGATTGTTGCTCTGTTCCAGTTGAAGCGCAAATACCAGTGTGTTGCTGCATGTGTGTTGAACATTCTTTTACAGACTCTGATTCGCTGGCAGACGGACGATCGATGACTACCGCACTGACTGTCACCGACAACAGCGACAACACAATAGTCGATATGAATTTCATCCTGTTGACGAGAATGGATGTGATAAAGCTTGTCAATTAGTAGGACAATTCTTGGTAATGAATGAGCCAGTTGTGGATATGAACCATACCTTCATAGCGATTAAATATATGATCAAGACATAAGGGTTATATGAGCTTATGCAGCAACAACTCGACCGCCATTTAGGTATATGTAGCACAGATACTCATGTGTAGGCTGTTTTATGCACAACTCTTCAGCCATTGAATGAAACAGGACTCATAGTCAAGGACTGGTGACCCTGACCCATATACTAAAAAATATATTGAAATGGTTTGCATAGTCAGTCAGTTTCAAGTTACGGTCAGTATAGGGTAATGGTTTATCCACACAACAGCTGGTCAAATATTAGTGGTAAAATCCTTCAAACGGCTCTGCCTCGACACTTGATCTAGTGATATGACACTGTGTTGCAGTCCTGTTCAATGCAGTATGGATTGATGGTCATATCAGCAGTATCAATACTTTATGCCAACTGTAATATTTTCAATACGCAAACTCAAAGTATTGCCAATGATTAGAAAAGCTTCAACAGAACTCTTGAACTGTCAATTGTCATGCTATCAATAGTATGAACATCCGACTCAATACTGTACATGACTGGTTGTCAAGAGTCTTGCAGCGTTTACTTGTCAAACTGGATTCCTGTTTCGATTATACAAACATGACATCAAATACATGTCTACTTTGGAACAAGACGTTGAGTTGAATGTCCAGCAATATACAAAAATATACAAAAACAGCACGAATTGAATGTCAAAACTCGATTACTAACAATTTCAAATCTACAGAAACGAATACGACAACTTGCAGTCTAGTCATGTAAACGGAATACTAACAGTGTTGGTGTGTGATAAACAGTCAGTGACATGGACTGGTTGACAATATAGTGGTGTTGTTGGTGGTGATTGACATGCATTCAAACAGTTGCATTACTGACATGTGTCATGATTGTTGTTGAATTAGATTGCAATCGTATTCGTGATTCAGAATACAACAAATGTGTGTGCAGAGTTGTATTGACAACATTGACAGGCAAACACAATACATGAATGTGGGTTCAAACTTGTTGATCGTACAATGTATGACTACCAAATGTGCACAAAATGTAGATTCAACACTATAGTCTGATTGTGTGTCATATGATAGTCGTTGCATATCGAACACGCAATGCAGTCAATGTGTAGTAATCATTGTATATTGCAATGCAGAACACAGTCATTGCAGAATGAATACTAAAGTGATCCATTTTACATGAATACAGTTGTAAAACAAAGTGTTTGCGGTTACACAACACACTCATGAAGGGTGATTTTCAATATACCTGATAAAAGGGTCGTAAAAGCATAGTTCAATTGGCGCGAAATCAAATCAATCAATATGATATTGTGATTAGGGAGTAACATGCTGTCTAATTTGATAGTAACCCACTACAAGCAATCAAATAACCCTGTGTCATTGGTTAACCTAAAAGGGTTAGGGTTGGTTTAATATACAAAACATACAAATACATTCATTCCTATAATCAACATCAGTTTCAACACTCTACTTTTGTATTGATAGTTTAAACCCATTGACCAGTCTGATGAAATTGGTTGATATTTTATTCGTACTGACTGCAGCAGCAACTGCCAATGCAATACTGATACCGACTAATAACGATGGTTCACTCCAAACATCAGTCACTTCTAGTCAAGTGTCCAGCCCAACTAATGAACCTAACACAGGCACTTCAGATGAATATCAGGAAGAATCAATGGATTTGAGTATTCACAACCGAATCCAACAACAGCCAATGGATCAACCTAATCCAAATACTCCCGGTCCAAACCAGCGACCGACTGTGATTGTATTTGGTCCAAATGTTCTCAAACAAGGCCGGAAACGCCCAATTGATGTAATCGATTTAACCACTTTCGACCAAGACCAACAACAACCAACAGATGTAGCTGGTCCAAGTGCTCCCAAACGAGGTCAAACACAACCAATTGATCAGTCCAGCCCAAGTACTTCCAACCAAAACCAGCAACAGCCAATGAACAAAATCGAGCCAGGCAATACTAGTTCAAATCAAGTGACTGGATTGAACAAAAGAGATCAAAATACCTTTAATCGTATAAAGAAAAGGCTTGTAGAGTATAAAGAATTACGAAACAAAAAACGCAAAGAATATCATAAATCTATGGCTCTTGGATTGAAACAATGGTCAGCGTTAGCAATGGGAGAAGATATATCTGGATCAACGTACAATCCAGACACTGAAAAGAAAGCAAGAGAAGAGTATGAACAGGCAAGAGATAGAGTACGCAATGTCAGACATAGATTGAAGGATTTTATGAAAAGGCATGGTTTAGAATTTGAAGAACCGGGTTTGGATTTGGATTGATGATGTGTCGATGATTTTGGTTTTGAATAAATTTAAACTTTCTGGTGTGTTGGTATTTATCGAGTGTTAGATTTGCAATCACTTGTCAGTTGCATGGTTGCATGATACCACAAACTGATCATGTCGTGTATTGTACAACAAACGGAGCAATACACTTGTTCAAAGTCTGTCACAAGCAAAAGGTGTTTGTCATGTCACTGTCACTGTTGGAAATCACAACAGACAATGTTTGATTGAAGGATTTAACACCCCATTACAAAACATCATTGCCTTTTATCAATAATATACTAAAACTAACCAATACGTTAATGTCTTGCAATATATTGTGTTTGACTACAATCACATCCATCATTGTGCAGTTGGTGATATTGCTGAATCAAGATATGAAAGTGATCCATCAAGTGGTTCAATTAAAACAAACACTGCAAACCATTCAATCAATGTTGGAAATTGTGTTGGAATACTGAATGGACAAACCTTTGAGTAAAATACAAGTCAATATACAGTAATGCTGTGTATACTATGTATACTGTGGTTAGTGGAAATGATTACTCGTATCCAATTTCAGATGATGATCAAATAATTCAGACTTGCAAGTATTATGAATTTGAACACATCCAAATTGCTGAAACGTCTGTTACTGAATCTAGAAACCCATATCCAACAATGACAAATAAGCAGCGTCAGAACAGAAATCAATTGCATGCATTATCAACAATTAGTGAACCTGAAAACAACAAAACATATGACATATGACAGGACATTTCAAACAACTTGTTTTCTAGAGCAACTATAAATGCCATGTCAGAATATTTAGAGCTTCGTGATTTGTTTTAATGTAGAATAGTATAAAATATAAAGTAGAATATAATCTGTAACTGTTAGTAGTTATCAGAAGAGAACAAATCAGAAGTGTAAGAGGAAGTTGCACTTTAAATCAAGATCAACAGACTTAGTCTTTTCAAAAGTAGTGAAAAGGTTTGATAAAGTAGTTAGAAAGATGAAATAGTTTGAAGAGTTATTTATTGATAAGAGTAAGCATTCTAGCTTTTATAGTAGTTGATTGTTTGTGTCTTGTGATACGAACAATTAACACGTTTGATGATGAGAGGTTGTAAACGAGAGTTACAACCAATAGTGTTGATTTCTGGAGTTAGTAAATTTAATAATGGCATCGTCTACCCGTTTATAGAGAGCTCGAGTCCTAGAAATGAGTGTAATGGAGTTACTGTGCACATGGATTTTTGGTGATGAAAGGATTTAACTTGTGTTTAAGTTTGGCGCTTTTTAGAACTAGCTTTGCCATAGGTTACCGCATAAGAGTATCCGTCTGGATATTCCAACATGCCATTCATTGACTCGATCAAAAACTACAACAATTACTTGCAATGCATCAAAATTTGGCATCCAAATTTGACATCCATATCCAGTTCAACAACAGGAGGCGTCAAACAAGTGGTATCATGATTACTATTCACAAAACAAGCAAATTGGACAACAGCGCTGTTGCAACTATTATGCTTCAAACTCGGAATCAGAAACGGTGCAACTGAAAAAAAGTACACAAAGTCGATGAGTATAGTTTATTGAATCATTCAACACCAATATCGTGTACTTGAAAATCAATGACATCAATTCCACCATCTACCAGAAACATGTTTGTTGCGGTGTGTTATTTGATGTGAATTTTGCACCAGTATGTTCATGTCTGATACAATTCATGGCTGTTATTGGACTTTGTACGACTGAACCATTGTTCAAATGTGATGATGTTTATGCCACTGTTGTAAATCGAATGGGTGCATATTGAAATACACGATATTGTTGTAATAGATTGTAGTATGTCTTGTATGCAAAATACGACAATCTCTCGAGTTTGAATTCATTGTAAATATACACCAGACATTCATCAAACTGAACCTTTTAGTATTTTTGCTTGCTTGAAATAGCTCCAGCAAACAAACAAGCGTTTCTGCAATGCACATTGTGTATGCTACACCAACAACATCATTGATGGTCAATACACACAAGTATTGTTGATGTACACTTTGAGTTCCAAGACTGTATTTTTTGTAGTGGGAAAGTTGTGGGAAAGCTGCACATTGAGTTGCACTGTTTTGAGTTCCACTTTAAACATCTGATCAGCAATCAGTCCATACTTTTGACAAGCTCATGTATGAATGATGGTTTATCAGTGTTTTTATCAAGACACGGTAAATTGGTTCATGATCAATGATTTGAGTTGGTTTCAATGTTACTGCATTCATGACATTGAGTGCATCTGAAACAGCAACATCATCACTTGATTCGAGTTTGAAACAATAATTATTGACTGTGTTGGTCAAACTGCAGATTCACTGCTATTGGATTCAGACTCTGTAGCAAGACTTTCTGTGTGATGAAACAGCATCTGAAACTGCACCAATCGTTTGATTTCCAATCATATGAGCATCGTCCATAATAATATCATCAGCGGTTTGTGGTTCAGCATTTACCATTATACGAATCCAGTGAATATGTTGATTGTAGGTTTGTAAACAGAGGCTACAAGCCAGCAGTGACATCGTTTGCAGACTTTTGATTTTGAAAGCATTCATAATTTCTGATATGTTACTATCATACAGCAAGGCACATTGCAGTTGCTCAGTTTGTCGACTTTTATTGGCAACCTATTATGTACCAGCCACAAATATGATATTGCAGACTTGTAGATGCTTAAAAATGGGTTTTCAAATTGACTTTTGAATTTGAGGATCGTGAACATATGATGGCATATTGATGGTTGTCATTATTGTCAAGTGTGTTGCAGTTGATTGAAGATGTGATGGAATGAATCAATATTCGATTGTGTTGTTTATTAACAAGAAAGTGAGTGTGTTCATAAAATAGGAGACAAGAAAGCCATGTGAATTCCAGTTCAAACGTCATTGTTGATGGTTTTTGATTGTTAAACTATTCAGAAATGTCTCACACTCTCACACTACTAATGTCTCACACAATGCAAGTCAACACTCTCACACTAGTAATGTCTCACATTAATGAGACATTAATTCTGGTGTAAATTTGACTAATTTCCAAATATTTAAATCGTGTGAATTGTCTTGAAATATCCCAAAATTTTGTTATTTTGACTCGATTAAAAAGTCGATTTTTGTTTTACAATTTGACAAATAAATTGCTTTTTTACTCTTTTTTCTTTTCATAAAATGCCAAAACGATTCCTCAATGTTGAATATGGCACTATTTCTACTGAAATCGATGTGACTGACTTTGAAGACCCGAGTGACGTTCAGGATGCTATCAAGGCAGAGTATGGTCCTGCTATGGCTGACATTGATGCTCCTCAACTCCAACTCTACACCAACAGTAACAAGAGCCAACTAATCAACACCTGGACTTTACTCGACTCTCTTCCTCAATAATACTTTACTCAAGATGGTTATTGTGTTGTTATTGGTTGTTTACCTCTACCTCCAATACAGCCTACTCAAACTGACCTAGGTCCAACATCTGCAGCAGCCTCACCCGCACTACTGGATTTTTGGACTGCTTTCACAAACTACCCTAACCCTCTTGAAGGAAACACTGTTGTCCAACTTCCAGCAGACGTATTCATCCTTGGAACATATTCAATCGGATCATCCATTTACATCCGTCCTTGTTATCCTAAACTTCTTGAAAAATCACTATCTATTGTGCAATCTGCTGATATATGTCATTTGATCATCCTTGGAAATCCTGGAATTGGCAAGACATATTTTGGTTACTTTTTGCTGTTGCATCTTGCTCGCTCTGGTGCTACAGTCGTGTATGAGAGTGGAGCTGATCAAAAAAGATATCTGCTTACTCCCAATGGTGTATTCGAAGGAGGAAAGCATGCTTTTTGGAAAATCTTGGATTCCTCGTCAACATTCTACATTGTTGATGGCTCGGCACCTGTTGATGTTGATGCCAAGACCATTCTTGTTACTTTACCTCGTTGGGAAATTTGGCATCGGTTTTCCAAGGGGTCCTGCGACATTCGGTATATGCCAGTGTGGTCAAAAGAAGAATTGCATTCTTGTCGCTCAATGCTTTTTCCTACAGTTCCACAAGAATTGGTTGAAAGTCTGTATTTGAAGTGGGGAGGAATTGCTCGTTATGTTCTTAAATATGCATTGGTAAAAGAACAACAGGATTTTCTCGACAAAGCTTTAAATATTTCCAATATCGATTCAGTTGTCAAGTCTTTTGGTAAATATGGTGAAAACCTAGACGCTTCAAGTTGTTTGATTCATAGATCAGTCAAGGATGGCTTCCACAGTGGTCCTTATCAGTTTGCTTCTGACTATGTGGTTGATGAAATTTACAACCGTGTCTATGCCAGAGACCGAGATCATCTTATCAGATTCGTTTCTGTCACTCGAGAAATTGGTGAAACTGGTCAACTTAATAGGGTATTATTTGAAAAGCACGCTCATACAGTCATCGCTAAAGGTGGTTCATTCAAGATTCGTGATTTACGTACCAAGCTGGAGTCTACACTTCAACTGCCGATGGATCTTACTACTTTGTTATTCTCCAACAATTCTCAAGTTCAAGACGCAACGAATTGCTATTTCCGTCCCATTAGCAATATTTTTGAATCTGTTGATTCGTTCATCAAGCCAAATCTACTTTTCCAAATGACCGGTGCCAAAAATCATCCTTGCAAACAGACTGAACTTTGTGATGTTTTGGAAATACTTGGTAATCCGTCAAAACCAGAACTGTATTTTGTTGTACCTCCTGATCGTTTTGCCTGTTTTACACACCAAAGCCACCACGGAACAGATGGTCAAGTGTTGTCACAAAACGATACTATTGCGAGTGTTGAGAAGTTGACTCAATTTGTTTTGACGTTTGAACCATCTCATCAATAAGGTATGTAGACTAGAATTAATGATTTTTATTGGCTGCATAACGCTAATCCTAACTCTGTTTCTCGACCTCGTTCTACACAATACACGACGTTTGATTTCTTAAAGGTGAATAATATCGTATGGGTTCTTGTTCATTGACGTATAGTGACATATTTATGTAGTATAAGTTTGAAGGAAGATCACAGAGATGTAAGACAAGAAGAAGGAATGAATCAGAATAGTCGTGATTGTTTATTGATAAGAGAACTTTGTCTCTTATATATAGTAAGTAGTAGTGGTGAATTAGTGGCGGTATAAGCGTCACTCCTAAGCTTCACCGTTAAGGGTTCCCAAGCGTTACAGTCATTGCATAGAGTGAGGCAACGGTCATCACCATATCTAAGCATTGTATAGCTTACTTGTTTATACACTGCTTGTTACTAGACCCCATCCTGACCGTCTGGGTCCTATTACAAATGTCATACATTACCAATGTCTAACACCCCTCCACGTCGAGAACACTCTCGAAGACCGAGCAGGTTGACGAATTGTTCGAAGGCGGGTCTTGGTAATCCTTTTGTCAGAATATCAGCTACTTGATCCTTAGTACCGATGTACTCTGGTTTGATCAGTCCCTGGCTGATTCTGTCTCGTAATGCATTAATCTTAATGCCTATATGTTTGGTTGCCTCGTGTACGACGGATGGTCCAATCATGTTTGATATCGCCGATTGCGAATCACAGTATAGCGTTGTTGGTCCATCTTGTTCGAAACCTAACTCTCCAAGTAGATCGCGCAGAAACAATAATTCTCGCGATGCTGATTCGGCAGCAGTATATTCGGCTTCCATAGTAGATACGGCCACACACGTCTGTTTTGATGACCTCCACGATACAAGTGCATTGCCTACATAACATAAATATCCAGACGTAGACTTCCTGGTCTTTACGTCTCCAGCCCAATCGGCATCTGAGTAACCACTCAATGATGCGTTGGTTCCTCCTAGTTCTAGTGCGTAACTTAACGTTCCTTGCACGTAGTGTAGTATGAGCTTGACTGCATTCCAATGTTGATCAGTCGCATGGTGCATATGTCGGGCAGCTTGTCCAACTGCAGCGGCCAAGTCCGGGCGTGTTGCTATCATAGCATACATTAGTGACCCGACTGCTTCTCTGTAAGGTGCGGATGTAACCGGATCCGTTTCCTCAGCTGCTGGTAATGGGTTCGAAGGGTACAGTGGAATAAACTTTGGATTGCAATTTGACATGCGAAATTTCTCTAGTACATCAGAGAGATAGTGCGACTGGGATAGGGTGATAGTTCGACCCATTCGATTGCGAATTATCCTTATGTTCAGGCACGTATGAATTGGACCCAAGTCCTTCATGCTAAATTCCTTGAACAGTTTCGACTTCATCCTTTCGAGTAAACTCCTGTTGTTACCAACAAACAGGATATCATCCACATATATAGCAATCATGACAAACCTGTCCTTGGCTGACAGAATGAGGATACATTTATCCGTCATGCATTGCGTAAATCCCATATTCAAGCACTTGTCCACCAGAACCTTGTTCCATTGGTACGGCGCTTGTCGTAATCCATAAAGAGTTTTTTTGTAGTCTTCCTACTCGTTTGATTGCCCCTCCTGTGCTGTTGTTGTATCCTTCAGGCAGCTCGATATAGAGCTCCTCGTCAATTGTGCCATTCAGAAAGGCATTGTTCGCATCCGTATGGTCAACTTCCCAATCATAGATTGCAGCTAGTGCCAATATGATTCGCAAAGAAGTGAATTTTAATACCGGAGCATATGTTTCGTGAAAGTCGATGCCTGGTACTTGAGCGAATCCTTTCGCTGCTAATCTGGCCTTGTACTTGTCAATAGTACCGTCAGCCTTGTACTTGATCTTGAAGACCCATCTGACTTTGATGGCCTTGAATCCTGATGGAAGAGCGCATTCTTGCCATGTGTTATTCTTGTACAAAGAATCCATTTCTGCGTCTGCGGCTTCTTTCCATAGATCTGCATCACTCGACATCATAGCCTGTTGCCATGTTTCTGGCACAATGTTCCTCGATGATCCGTTCGATATAACTGCCACTGCGTTATTCGACTCATCGGCATTACTGGTACCACTCCCGTGAGTGTACGAGTAGTATTGATCTGACTCTTCCAGATCACTGTCATCTTGACTTGTATTGGTTGGCAAATCCTCAACCATTCTCTGTTCCACCGCAGCCTGTATGCTCGGCTCAGACGCGTCAGCAGTCTCTGATATCGCTCCTGGATAATCAGCCGTGACCGTCGATTCTGTGGGAGCAGCCATCGTGGCTCTGTCCCTGTTCATAACGTCAACTGGACGTTCCTGAACTGCTTTCCTCGAACCTTGAGATTTCGATCTCGGTTTCTGGTTCGGTTTCCTATAACCGGCTAGACTCGACTCATTTAGCGATGTCTTGATAGCCTTATTCCTGCTGATGCCACGCCCTAATAACTCCTCCTGAGTTATGCGTTCATCGCTTGTTGTGACCTCGGTCCCGCGATCTGCTACAGTCATCCTCGCTGTATTCCTTGCAGTCGGTACTACTCTTGGTACTTGTCGGCGACCTGGTTCTGACTCCCCTCCAATTGGCGTACTCGCACAATCTGGATTTCCTGGAGTTTCTGATGTTTTTGGACTTACCACATTATCTATCACAATAGGTACAGACGGTGTAACACCACCGCGTAAATTGTAGCTATGAGTAAATAATGGTGCCTCTTCGTACAGTGTCATTGCTGGTACGGTATTGTTCCGACGAACGGGATTAGAGAGTGAAGGAAACTCCTCTTCAGCAAAGTCTACATCCCTGCTTGTTATCATCTTTTTGCTTTCAAGGTCAAACAGCTTGTATGCCTTGGCCTGTGAGTGATAACCGATAAATACACACCTTCTAGTGCGTGTGTCCAATTTTGCCAGCAATTGCTTTGGTCTGAGTGCATACGCTGCACATCCGAACGTCCTGAGGTGCATCACCTTTGGCAGCTCTCCTGTCCATAGCTCGTATGGCGTTCTTTGGCCTAGCGCCTTGTTAGGAGACCGATTCTGTAGATACACTGCAGTCATCGCTGCCTCTGCCCAGAATTCTCGACCAAGCTTGCAACCGGCAAACATAGCGCGTACAGCGCTAACTATTGTCCGATTCTTGCGTTCGGCAACTCCATTTTGCTGTGGAGTGTAAGGCGTCGTTCTCTGTACTGCAATTCCTTTAAGCTTCAGGAACTGTTGGAACGCACTGGAGGTAAACTCCCCTCCATTATCGGTTCGGATCGCTCGAACCGGTAAGCCTTTACTTAATTCGACAGCGGCAACATGTTCCTTGAACCGCTGGAACGTTTGATCCTTTGAGATCATTGGATACAGGTGGGAATACCTCGAGTAATCATCTACTATGATCAGGTAATATTTATATCCACCTAGAGCCGTGTCATGAAACGGCCCTTCTAGATCCATGTGTAGCAACACATTGACTTGAGTCGCCACATGTGTACTTCTTTTCGGGAACGGGTGTCGAACGGCCTTGCCTTCGATACATGCCACGCACTGAGACCTCTCTTTGGTCTTTCCCGGTATAATATCAAGACCTTCCGATTTGTCGGCCAAGTTCTTGATCGATTCGACATTTATATGCCCCAGTCTTTTATGCCAGCCAGCAGTGTCTGTGGGCTTTCTAAATACTTCTGACGCGTGATTAGCTGTTGCAATTACTGTAGCATGAGCCATTGCACGTTCCTCATCAGATATTATAGCCTCGCAGTTTACTGCGTTTACGCCTCCGTCTCTACGGGTAGTCATGATAACCTCGCCATTCGACTTTCTTATAGTTCTGACCTTTTTGAAAATACTGATCTGACATCCTTTGTCTTCGAGTATATTTTCAGAGATAAGGTTGACTCCGAAAGTTGGCACCACTAGAACATTACCCAGTTGAATGGAAACAGTCCTGTGACCTACATTGCACAGGATTTCCACTGTTCCAGTACCGATGACATTGTGCATATCTTGTCCTGATGCCTTGACCTGTCGGTTGCTGCACGGTACAAAATCATACACCCATTCAGGTCGGCATACCATATGGCTGGAGGCTCCCGAGTCCAATATGAACATATCACTCCTATCGATGGAGCTACATGCCTCGTCAATTACAATGTCCCTTTTCTTGTCATCCATTGCTACAAACATTCCGTCTGCCGATTGATTATTTCTTGATCGGTCTTGGTTGTTTGATCGTGGCCCTTTGGAGAAGAACTTTGGTGACTGTTGTCGGTAATTGTCGTTCCTTGGAGCTGGTCGACAGTCCTTTGCATAGTGGCCTATATTACCACAATTATGGCATGCGGGCATTCTGTCTTGATCGTCGTTTCTTTGTTCATAGGGTCGACGTCCCTGCTCTCTACGATAATAAGTATCCATCTCATGGTTTGCTGCAAAATAGTCATCCCGACTAGAATTGCCTTGCTTTGCGCCGTGTGCATTTGGCCCATGTGATGTTGAACCTTTCCGTAGGTTCCTATGATTTCTAGACGCATAGTTCGCCTCGTATATGGTGTCATCTACACCGTGCCTCGGTAGTGCACCCATGTTGATGAGTTTAATTTCCTCTTCGATGAGTTCCGACAGGAATTTGTTGGGGCTTAGCATTTCGTCGGTCCATCGCACTGTATGTCCTTCGAAATAGCGCCATTCTCTGCTCTTGGAAACAAGTTTTGCCATCACCCTTGATGCAAACACTTTCTCACCCCAAAATATATTTGCCGCTGCAATCTTATGACGTAGACTCGTCATAGTGTTGTACAGTTCCTCGACTCCCTTCCTGGGATCGTACTGCAGATTTGCCATGGCTTCCTCTGATCGCGTCAGCGATCTTTCACAGTAGTCAACATAATGGTTCTTGAGTCCGACCCAGATTTTCCTGGCGTCAAGTTGTATTCCATTACTGTCACAGAGCATAAACTTGAATTTACTGCTCACTGTTGCCTGCAAGATTCCTCTTGCCTTGAATTCCTTTAATTTGTAGTCGCGCTCGATCTTTTCTGGAAGTTCACCTATGATGTGAGATTCCCATAGATCCAGAGTTTCGAAGGCGGCCTCCATTTGGTTTGCCCAGACAGTGTAATTGTCCTGGGTCAATACCGTAATAATAAGACCTTCAGCGATCTTGACCTGCTGTGAGCCTGGGCTCATAACCTCTTGTTCATTGACGTATAGTGACATATTTATGTAGTATAAGTTTGAAGGAAGATCACAGAGATGTAAGACAAGAAGAAGGAATGAACCAGAATAGTTGTGATTGTTTATTGATAAGAGAACTTTGTCTCTTATATATAGTAAGTAGTAGTGGTGAATTAGTGGCGGTATAAGCGTCACTCCTAAGCTTCACCGTTAAGGGTTCCCAAGCGTTACAGTCATTGCATAGAGTGAGGCAACGGTCATCACCATATCTAAGCATTGTATAGCTTACTTGTTTATACACTGCTTGTTACTAGACCCCATCCTGACCGTCTGGGTCCTATTACAAATGTCATACATTACCAATGTCTAACATGGGTTCCATTGGACAACAAACCTCACTTTGTGGAAATGACCACTTTCATTGTCAGGAACTTCCCAATCGTGTAATTTAATAGCTTTGGTTTTGAAACCTATAGTTTCTTGTAAATAATTGCATATCCCAAGACTGTTTTTCACCATACAGTTTTGAAACTAATATTTTGATTCAAGAACAAACTGCGTTTTCCTTTTTCTTTTTCTTTTGCAAATAAAAGTTGTTTTGTTGCTTACAATTATGGTCAATCAATTGACTGCCAAACCGTACAACAGTTTTGCTGACATTGGATTTGCCCGATCGATAGTCTTGGGTTTCAAACTTGAATCAAACTCCCAGCTGACAAAACACTGCAGGGATTGTTACAAGCACGAAAGCAGCTGTTTCAAGAGATGCTGGTATGATACAAGGAGTACCAGAAAGTATACTCTTACAAAGAATTGTTTGCAACTGAATTGAATCAAATAGCCATACGTGATAAACAGCGGGTTGATTGTGGCTTTATTCCCAATCAATGGTATTGACAAAAACAACCGGGGATGAGCCAGGATCAAGAGTTGGAGGCTAGACACAATTATGAATAGAATATGCTAGAGTATCAAAAAGATGATCAAAGAAAGCGTGAAATTCAACAGATCAGCAATGATGTCCAAATGCATAGTGTAATCAAGCAGATTTGAATTCATTTTGGCATTGCAAGACACACTATCACATTTGGAAGAGTTGATTGGAAATATAAAGACTCGTACTCGATAAACACGGACTTGTCAGTGGTTTGATTTTATACTCTATCATTCTTACAACAAGACCCAGCTAAACCCAGTCTGTGTACATTAACGCTTAGTACTGGTTAAAAAACTACCCATTGTATCCAATTTGAGGCATCAAGTATGAGTCTGGCACAAATAGCTCGTATTTATTATGAATTACAAGCAAAGTTATTGACTATTCTACCCTAATACTTTTGACTTGAATTCCTTTCTGCGAATAATTTATGTTTTGACAACTTTGTACATGATTTAGCAGTAAGTGTCGGTTAAAAAACTGGTATCATCGGGTGTTCTATCTATACTACTTTCAATCGATCGAATGTCAATATGTTTGTACAACAGTTTGGTACAACTGACTGTCTGTGGATTATTATCACACGAGTCAATGCTGACCTGATTTACGATATTCAGTGTTGTTGGAATATCAACACAACATCAACACCAAACATCAGATCGACACTGCACGTTGATGTTGATGGATGCAACATGAATATTGAAACAATGCATCATAATGCGTACAAGTTGCAGATTGCAGTTCAAACTCAATGCAAAATACACATTGTTACAGTTTGGTCATGAACAAAGCGATACGCACAATGTGCAGTTCATGTCTACGACTCGACTGATTGGTAGACAACGACCATTTGCATTGTTGAACAGTAAACTGAACAGTAAATGACCATCAAACGCATGGCTTGGTATCGACATTCAAGCAATCACCATGATTGTAATATTTGCAAGTTGTCCACAAGTTGTTTACAAACGACCATCAATTGACAATGGCATGCATGTGCATGTGCATGGTTGACTATACAATACACTACATGAACCAATATTGCTGGCTGAATACAGGTCACAACTGCAAGTATCCATGTGGTAATGGACTGACATTGGTGTTGATATCAAATTGATTGACTAATCGATCATCATCAATTACATCAGTGATTGGTATATGCAACAGATATACACCATGTCCGAGTCTGATACATGTCGATATATGCGTGTCAATCAGCAATGCATATTTGTGGCCATTACAGTCGAATGTGAATCGAGTCGATCATTAAACCAACGAATCAATGATTGCATTCTAAATGTAGTGCGATTTGATGCAACATGACAATATATTGTCCAACATACACAACACCGATATACAATACATCACACATGGATACACTGCATATACAAACGGTAGCAATGACCAATCAAAACCAACAGTGACAGAGTTACTCGTCAACATATACTCGATCATCAGTCGAATCCGCATATATCAACTAGTTGCGACACGTCATAATCAATGTGGATTATATTGCTCACCAATCGATCATGACAGCTAATCAATACCAATCATGTAGTCAATACAATCACCAACATATCCATGACTGTTGACTTGTGGTTACAACTCGTCAATTGCATCCAATGTTACAGTTGATGCACATCTGATTACTGCAAATCAACAACTTGTCAATCATATCATAGTGTGTATTGCCAACAAACCATGCAATTACAAATCAATGTATACGTGATCAACGTTTGATATTTGATGGTGATGAACCAACCATGATTGATTGTATCATACAACTAATACAGTTGCATTGTCTGGTATGTATGATCGACCCAATCATGTCAAACAGTAACTAATGTGTGTATATCGAGTTTGTGTTGCATGGACACATCAAGGTGTTTGATAACGAGTCCAACGTGATGATACAAACCCAATATTATATGAATATCCAAGTTGATGAATCAAGTCAAGGTTTGCAAAGTGTCAATGTCAGATCAATCAAACGAACCAGTCAACCATTATATTGTGACTAGTGATGGCACGGTTTGAATGTCAACGAGTTAGACAGTCGACAATATGGGTGATTGCGATTTGGTCAAACCGCAACACTCGCATATCACTGAGTCGGTTTGATGTGTGTGGTGTAAGCAGTATGTATAAACTCGTTGATATTATGCACTATAACCAATATACATCACATGTATACAGTGGTAAACACCAACGTGTGATGTGTCCAGTGATCGTATACTGGTTGATTGATGCAATATGATCATACATACTATTGTATTGGTGACAAATGGTCGTATAGATGACTGAATTATCATATACAGGTCATTGGTATCCTTGTCGCATTATGGTGCCATTACACAGTATTTCTACACAAATCACACCCTGATGCTACGCTTCCAATTTCAATAAGCAATTATATAAAGAAAGAGTATTTCAAAGTCATTTCAACATTGACAACAAATCAACACCAACCCTGATAGTAACACAAATCCCTTAGGACGATCATTCAAGAAATATGCTTTTAATATCATTTATTCAATAATGGATATAAATATAGTTCAAAAACTGGCTCGTTGAATGACATTACAACTTGCTCAACCAACCACCAAAATGAAATTCTCAATTGCCGTACTGTCATCAATCCTTACTGTCTTCTCGGTCACAGTTGCCAATCCAGTTGATCCCAGTTCGACCATGAGTGCTGAAGTCAGCACTCCAACAGTTTCTCCCAGTGCAACTGAAACTGCAAGTGCTAAAGCTAGCATCTTGAACACTTTTAGTAGGTTTGATTATCCGAAAAAATTAAAATCATATAATGAGTTTGGCAAGTATTGCTATTCAATTGGCTTGGAGGGAGTATTCATGATCGAAGAACACACAACACTTTCAGTTAAAATCGACAAAATAGAGAAAGATATTCACAATGTAGATGCTCGGATCAAGGCTCAAAAAAACTTGCTGTATAATCTGGAGCAAGATTTTGACTTTTTAAATAGAGCCTCGGGTCAAGGATCAGTAGACCTCGACCTTGAAACTAATATTAGAACCCAGCGTGAGTTTCTTGATGAACTCCAAGAGATTCTCCAAAAAATTCTTGATGGGTATCGGATTAGGCTTAAAAAAGATTCTGAGCAAGAATTGGAGCTTAAACATTACTTTGAGCATCACCATAAATTTGAGGTGACAGATTCTGACGATAATATAAACCTGGAATCGTATCACTCGTACAAGAGTTGTTTTGACTTTTTCTACAGTTACTTTTCAAGTATATTTTCACGGTTTGAGCAGGATGCTCAGCAGCAAGCTTCTCAACCATAGACCCGTCACGATGTTGGAGTTGAGTGAACCATCACAGTCTCATCCAGTATATGTTGTAATGCACCGTGTATTGCATGGTGGTTTAATTGTCATGTGTCATGCATTCAATGTCATTCATTCAATAAGCATCGTGTATTGCCAAACAATAGTGTATTATACTAATGGTTTGATCATATTTCACCAATCAACTACTATGTGATGTCATGATTGATCATTCGGTGTGCTACACATATTGAATGCATGCAAATCCATGACTGTCAACTCCTTGTTGAAATGGGTTCAGATCACCATCAGCTCACTCACTTGTTGCACCGATATGACTGCATAATCAACCTGACACAAACCAAACCACACTCGAATATATATGTTCCAGTCATGTGCATGGTGTATCGATTGTCAACTCACAATGTCAACTCCAACACATTACATCATGATTATGGTCACATCACACCATGCCGATGTATGTCGATCGGTATCACATTGCAACCAGTTATCATCCAATGACTGCAATGCAATACCGTGCATGTATTGTGACTGATACGTTGTGCACCATCAGCAAGTGTGCAACTATCACTCGATATATCGAGTCTGATATGCAACAACATGCTGTGTTTACCATGATCAGGTTTTTGATCAATCTTGGACTCATGATACATGATTTGACATGTTGGATCGTGTGAATGTGTCATGGACTGCAATTTAGTTGCAAACACACATATGTTTGACATTGACTGATGCATATTGTGCAACGACTGATCAGTGCGGGTGTGATTGCACACTTGGTGGTATT